ATATAGGTAACAATTTCAAAAATGCTCCTAAATCACTGAAACATTTATTTTTAAACGGATTGGATGGATCTTCATATAAAAAAAGTTTGAATTGAAGGATTTTTACCTTTGATTTTTCATGAAGAGGACAAAAACAATACCGACACTAATTGACTAAGAAAACACAATACTTTGTTACTTGATAGAAACAAATGAATAGTAATGAAAAGTTCACAATTTAGAATAAGCACCTGATTAAATATTAACTAAAACAATTGAATTTCGAAATTATTCAGTAACTTATTCATTGAATTGTTCAAATTGATGTCCACACACTTTCTCAATACGGCTTATGCATTCAAAATCATTAAAGGATGTCTTTGTAATTTCTGGAAACTGCCTCTGTTGTTGCACGAAGTTCTTCAAGATTGCTGTGCCTCTTACTGTATTTTAACACGTATTGAGAAATTGTGTCAATTGTGTGTTACTGCTGTTAAATACAAAAAACGTCAAAACAGCAGTGTCAAGTACATTTTGGAACTCTAATTTTAACCATGTTGTATTGTAGGTTTGTGGTTTGTGGCATAGACTATTTATTGTGATTTTGTATATTTTGTATGTATCTTTTTTATTCTATATTTTTGACGAACTCAACACCCTGTACAGGGATTTTTAATGAGTAAATAAATCCTATTCTATTCTTCTATTCTATAGAGGGAGGAGGCGCTTGAAATGAGACACGCTGTAGATTCGTTAATATTGAATATTTTCTAATGAAACTTGGTACAGACATATTTCAGATGACGCCGATTCCAGTGATATAGGCGGATTTTTTCTTAAAAAATCGCTAATATGGATTCTGGATTTTTGAGCCTCTGAATGTCATCTGGTATGCCTTGGTTGAAAAAAAAATGGACGCCTCTCAGCTCCAAAATACACCTTTTCTCCCTCTACACTAAAAAAAAAAGTGAAAATCGCTTCCTAAATGAAATACTTATGAGTGTGGAATGATTTCGAATGGGTCACTACATACCAACGAAGTACACTCGTCTTCAGCGAAAATGTCGCGGTTGGACGATATGAGCGCTCTTATTGCAGCAGTGATTAAAGGAGCTGACACCATCCATGTGCGACATTATCTCTGAAGGCGAGTGTACATATGCTACTCTACTACTAGAATTTCATGTAATGATCATGTAATGATACACCAGCACGACGTAAGTTATGAGCCATCCCCTTATCTGGTTAACTAGAATATATACATAAAAAAGAGAATAGAAGTTCTTCAAAGTCATATATGAACTTCATTTTTTAGATAATGCCAGCTATACAGGAAGATCCCTATTCCTGTGACATAGCAAACATAGTTTTTTCAAAAGAAATAACCTGTTTTCGATGCGCTGTCATTAATTAACAAATTTTTTCTACTCACATTACTAAAATGGCATTTAGCGTACGGATATGTACCACGCTAAAGGATCGATTAATCACGGATTGACGATCTGTGATTTATTAGAAATATTAAACACGTTACCATGGCAACACGATTTCTTAAACACATCACCATGGCAACGCAGTTCATTAAACACAGCTTCAGTAATTTGAGACATGTCTGGCCTGTCAATTTGTATTAACTGTCAACTGTTATTTTCAAATTTTGTATCAGAATTATTCAAACAATATTCGTTTGTATCAGAATTCTTCATTAAAAATATATGCGAAATGTAGAATAAGAAAGTGAAATCGAAGAGATGGTACTTGCGTATCACCAAGAAGTGTAAAAATGAAGCATTCATCTTTGAGAAAAATTTATTCATTCTGCGCTAAGCATGACAATAAACGTGAAACAAAGGTTAGTAAGCATTGGACTGGACACATCTACAACCATTATCACTTATACGTGTCTCGCTGGTTGCATGCATCAGTTGCATCTATTATGTTCTCAATTCCCATTCCTTTCGAATTATTTTGTAGGTTAGCCGGAATAGCAGGTATGATAATGTAATTTTAGGAGTTCGTAGAAAAATCATAGTATGTAACGCGTTTATAAACTCTTCTAGACACTCGTTTATTAAACACTCGCTCCGCTCTGCTCCGCTCCTGCTTAAAATACTCGTTACTAAAAGGCCGTTTATAACACTTGTTACATAATATACTATTATATGTTATCTTTACTTTTCGTCAATATTTAGAAATTTTGAATTCGCCAAAAGTGATGACGTATTTTGCAAACCGATTCATCCTTGAATAAAGCTCAGAAAGAAAAGTTCAATGATATAAAATGGGTCAGAGAACACCCGGACTTTTCCATGATTTTCACAAAACCCTCTAAAAACGTTGTGGATTGAGTTCTCCATGCGCGTTTTTCATTATAAATCAACAAATTCTGTATGTTCTCTTCATCGTAGATCATGATTTAGATCTCTTGAATTTGTGAAAAGTGATACTCGAAAACTGATGATTTTCTCGAAATTTCAGAAAGGAACACCCTCAATTTCATTTTATTGTTGGATACTCATTTTTTCGTTCGCAGACACTGAATTTTTGTCCGCAAACACTTCGTCCGCTGCAGAGTTTGCCAGTTCTACTGAATGTTCAGTAAATCTCCTGATTTGCATACCGATTCACGTATCGAAAAATATTTGGACACTTATTTATTATTAGTATTATCATTCTTATCATTATTTTTATTAATATTTTAATTACCTATTAATCTTCTGTTGATCACATACACTTATAAATTGCATATTTCAGCTAGCTCTGTTTGAATTAATTTTACCAAATGAGTAATAAATGTACATAATATAGGTACTAATAATATGTATGAACCAAAAAAGGACAATACCTCATCTGATTCAGATCAAATTCAATTTTTTATGTACCTCTGTTATACGGTCAATTTTTTTTTTGCATTTTTTTATTTTTTGTTAATTTTTACTATTCCGGTTTTTTATATACTCAAATCTCTATGTAACTGTATTTTGTAATATTTGTGATCATTTTTGAATTTGGATGCTTATATTCTTTTTACCAACAAGAGGTTAACCCCAAATAGGAATTCAAATGATATTAAAATTCATGAAATATTGAAGAGAGTGTTTTGTTTACCATAAAAAAAAAATGAGAATTAGGAATATGTTTTGTTTGTTTCAATTTTGTTGGAAATAGGTTACTATTCGCGAGATTCACGAAGTGGGCGTCATCTAAGGTACATAATACGAACTTCAAACTGGGGGAAAACAAACTGTTGTCTATGGATAAAGTGCATAGACTACATTGCATACAGATTGCTGTAGCTGTAGTTGTCAAACTTGTCAATGACATAAAGTGTTGGCACTGTTGGTAGTGATGATGGTCGAGTTGGTTAATTTTTTCACATTATCACATTTTTATTAGTTTAGTGAACAGTGAACGGGCGAAGAATTGAAGAAAGTTCAACCAATTCAAACTAATTATGACGAGCAAATCAAAAAAGTACTGCTCAGTGCAATAATTATATTTCGGAAAGTGTGTCTATGCATTTTTTTCCAAAAGATCCATATCTAGCCCAACAATACCCAGATTGTCCTGCTTTGCAGGAACAAATACAAGTCCATTGTTCTACAGGAGTTCCTCTGGACCCCAACTTCAATTTTACTTCATGTGGGGAAGATTTCATCGCTGAAGTTTCTAGACAAAGTGCAAAAATGTGCCTTTTTTGAAGTCTGCCTCACACAAAATCTCATGATTAGCACGGATAACTGCTTCTCCTTCCACTACTGGTCGGCTTTTTCAATCTAGAAAGAAAACTACAACAGGCATTAATGTCAAGAAATTTAAAAACTTATCACTCTTATCAGTACCCAGTACACAAGTTAATGTCACTAATGGGATTGAGTGAGGATTGAGTTTGTTTTCCCCCCAGTTTTGACGTGGCTTCGACATGGAACGATGAAAACCGAGCGCCACCTGGTAACATTGATTCCCGCGAATAGTGTTTACTAAAAGGTCAAAAAGGTCATAATGTTTTGACGTCAGAGATGTATTTCATTATCCATTTTTGGAATTCGTATAGCATGAAAAAGATCCTAAACAGATCTATCTAAATAGATTGAATTTTTGACAAGGTATTTGCTGATGTAATAAAAATCGAACTGACAACCCTGGTCCGCGCGGTAAGTGAATTGACAACATCCGTCATTTGCTGTTGTCAAATTAATTATTCACGAAATCCGATAGATTTCACGTGTAAATAGGACGTGATGTGAATATAAGTGTTTGAGGTCGACGAGAAAATGTAATATGCTGATTGCTAGTCTCGGCTATCAATCTGCAGATTCCACTATTATAGACAGTGTTTTGTCCTTGTTACATAAGGAACTATTATTGAATGATCTGAACATTAGACAAGCAATTACTTCTAGTTGAATATTTTGAATCTCTTCGGTTATTCTTTCAGCTAGTTCTGGCGAAACTATTTGGTCGGTTAAAATGAACTTTGGCCTTCAAATAACCCTATAGAAAATAGTCGAGCGGAGTTAGATCTGGAAATCGCGCAGGCCATTCAGTCTAAGCGATATCGAACAATCTTTGATATAGCATGGACATCTGTGGCCAAGCGGTCTAAAGCTTTCTAACTCGCTAGATAGCCGTTTGCAATGCTAGGATGATTTGGTTCGATCCCACATATTGTATGAAAAATGCTCAGCCGATATTTTTCCTAGCAGCATCTCTGCGCCGTAGGAGTGATTTAGATTCCATTGTAAACTATAGATCCCGCTCTCCTTGACCTCTCACAAGTTTAACTTTCTGGGGAGTATTCAACTTCGATTCAGCGATTTTTAAATTTGCAACCTGTTTATAAGTAAGTAGATATATTAACATATATTTTTATTTCCAGAATTCATCTTGCAGTGAGGTATTCCTCATCTTTATGTATGCAATGAACTCACTGGACGTTTGTCTAGATATATGAAATATAAATACCTTCATGGAAAACTAGGATAATTCATCGGACATTTTAACTTCAAACAATTGCAGATATGAAGTTAAAAAGGGCAGTGGCCATTTTAGGCTCTTGTATGATAATATTAGTGATATTTATGATATATTCTGCTAAAGACCTTAGTGGATTTCCTAGTAGAAAATCTTCCATTTTGCAAGATTTTCAGGATGTAAGTAACGGGCATGTTTCATTTTTTGAAAGTATACTTAGCTAATCAAGTTCAAATCCAAGTCCATCAGAGCTGTATTTTTTCCGAATTCAAATGTTTTGGATGACGACATTGACTACGGATGGACATGGATTATAAAATAGGAAAAAAATCTTCGCGATGTTGCTTCATTAAAAACAAGAAAGAAATCATCCTATAGTTTCTGCTATAGTTTCAGATCAGAACATCATTTTGAATATTCAATATGAATTTTTATCCCTAGGAAGTGCACACTATAACCGGCAAAAAGATTTGCCACCCTTAAAAAATTCGTTATTTCAACTTAACTGTCCGACATTTGAAGTGAGACAAGCAAAAATTTCTATCATTTTAGAACCGTCATAACTTTGGATTGGATCAACAATTTTCATTTATTTTGAAAGATTTTAATAGCTCATTGCATTGAGTACAATGTTAGTACTTTTCCGACACGATGACGTACAGGGTGATATCTGAATATGTGATAATTTTCGAAAACTTTGGGATCGCCCTGTGTCACAGGGATTTTTTAAAATACTTTATTGAGGGCAATAAAATGAAGAATAATGAGTTTCCTCGAAATGGTATTGAATTCAAGAGGATTCATACAGGATGATTGGACATACGGACATTTTCACATCTCATATTGCATTCTGATAGCCCCGTTCGGCAGGATTTTTTTTGTTTCATTGAGGGCGATAAGATAAACCAGAATACATTTTCGCGAAAAGGTTTTTGAATCAGGAGGATTCATACAGGATCTTTTGATATATGAAATATAAACAACATCAACTCCTGCTCAACGTTATGACTATACAATGTGTTGTACATTTTCAAACATACCGGGTATCATCGAATTTTTCAGGCAAGTCATGGATTTATGAAATAGGTGGATAGGTGGGATAACAAAAAAGTACTGACGTTGTACTCAATGAAATGAGCTATTTGAATCTTGAAAGAATTGGTTGATTCAGTCCAAAGTTTTGAAAATCAATAACACAAAGAAAGGACCCCGCACGAAAACACGGTAAATTGGCTCTCGGTCGAATTGGCTGAAATTTAACTGTTATTGTGGGATGGCTCATTAGAAAAATATGTGAGTTTGAAAAGTTTTGTATGTTTAGTTTCTGATATATAAGCCTACAAAGTTCGTAACAACGTCGTATCGGTGTAGGATTGACGAAGAAAAAACTGTTTTTTTAGTATAAATAAAACAAAATAAGCTAGAAAATGTATTGATCGGAACTCAAATACATGTCTAGTTATGATCACATGAATTATAGTAAATCAGGGTGTATACGAGGCACGGTCAAAAAATTTATTTTTCGGAAAAAAAATTCGAGTACTATTCCAAAACCAACAAGTTATATTTTGGTGATACTTCATAGTTTCAGTCTATTGTAGCCTTCGGAAACGTATTTTGATTCTTGAGAACTATCTCTGTTCGAAATATGAATTCTTTGAATTTTGTGTTATACCCCTTTTGAAAACAATTGAAAGCTTGTTTTTGATCACAAAGAGAGAGATTGATTGATACTGTTGATTGAATGAAAGCTGAGGAAACTCACTAGCGAATTCAGTTGTTCAATATTGCCTTTCATTTAGATACAGGGTGTGTTAGATTTTGTTGAAGATTATTTAACATGTTTCAATTGACTATCTCGAAAACAGTTCCGTTAATTTGGATCTCATTTTACACACACTGTTTTCAATATGTTGACTATCATAATGCAAGAAGTTTTAAAATTTTTTATGTTTCGTTTCTGAGATATCAATTTTTGCTAGTAATATCCGAGGTAATAGCCCTATAATACTTGTAATACTGTAAACTCAAAAATGCATATCTCAGCAACGAAACATAAAAAAATTTAAAAACTTTTTGCATATATGATAGTCACACATATTAAAAATAGTGTGTGTAAAATGAGATCCAAATTAACGGAACTGTTTTCGAGATATTCAATTGGAACATATTAAATAATCTTCAACAAAATCTAACACACCCTGTATCTAAATGAAAGGCAATATTGAACAACTGAATTCGCTAGTAAGTTTCCTCAGCTTTCATTCAATCAACAGTATCAATCAATTCCTTTCTTTGTGATCACAAACAAGCTTTCAATTGTTTTCAAAAAGGGGTATAACATAAAATTCTAAAAATGCATATTTCGAACAGAGATAGTTATCAAGAATCAAAATACATTTTCGAAGCCGACAATAGACTGAAACTATAATATCTCACCAAAATATAACTTGTTGGTTTTGGAATAGTGCTCGAATTTTTTTTCCGAAAAATGAATTTTTTGACCGTGCCTCGTATACACCCTGATTTACTATAATTCATGTGATTATAACTAAACATGTTCATGAGTTCCGATCAATACATTTTTCAGCTTATTTTGTTTCATTTATACTGAAAAAACAGTTTTTTTCTTTCTCAGTTCTACCCCGATACGACGTTTTTACGAACTTTGTCGGCTTATATCTCAGAAACTACACATACAAATCTTTTTAAACTCACATATATATCTAATGAGCCATCCCACAATAACATAGTCAAATTTCAGCCAATTCGACCGAGAGCCAATTTCCCGTGTTTTCGTGCTTTAGTTCGATGATAACAGTAACAGAAAATCAGGGTGGCCGGTTCTATTGCCCCTGAGCTTATATGATATATGTTTATACAAGGTTGCCATCTAAAACTTGACATATGGTTCCGGGGAATGATACAATAGATGTGGAAAAACGCTCGGACAGGTTGATTTTGATCTGAATGGGTACACACAGAAAAATGTGTCCCGTCCGGTTAAAATCGACCTGTCCGAGCGTTTTTTCACATCTATTATATCGTTACCCGAAACCCCTATGTCAAGTTTTTTATGGGCCATCTTGTATACGTTTCTTGTTCGTTGTAATTTATATAAAATATTCACCCTTTATATCTATTCGAGAAATTATTAGTAGAGTTCAATTTTTCCAAAAAAATGTTACAAAGCATCACAATTTAGTACCTATGTTAAATGGACAAATATAGAAATCCAAGAAATGGAGTTCAAATTATTACCTGATGAAATAATGAAGATAGAGTTTGAATTTTAAGTCTGCCTTAAACTTAGATGAACTATTGATCAGCCGAAGTCAAGCTTTTGATTTCGGCGAGGTTAGTATCACCGAAAGTAACAATGACTTTTGCAACGTTGCCGAACGTCCATTGATTGTTGAGATTGCTCCTCATTAGGCCCATCCTGTAGATAGAAAATTGCATAGTGTCACTCTCTGGAGTGTAGAAATTTTCAATGTCTCTGTCATTTGTGGGCCTATTTTAATCTTCAATATCGCAAGACAATAGATAATAATTGATGTTTCTACAAAATGATTAACCGATTATTTATGTTGAGATCAACAGTGTTACTTATACATACAGGGTGTCCGGAAATTGAACGCAAAAAATCAAGGGCGTCATTCCACATGATAAAATAAGAAAGAACCCTGCACGAAAACACGGGAAATTGGCTCTCGGTCGAATTGGCTGAAATTTCACTATGTTGTTGTGGGATGGCTCATTAAAAAAATATGTGAGTTTGAAAAGTTTTGTATGTTTAGTTTCTGAGATATTAGCCGGAAAAGTTCGAAAAAACGTTCGGAACTCATAAATAGGTCTTGTTATTATCACATGAATTATAGTAAATCAGGGTGTTATATTTTGGTGGAACATTATAGTTTTAGTCTATTGTAGGCTTCGAAAACGTATTTTAATTCTTGATGACTATCTCTGTTCGAAATATGAATTTTTAGAATTTTGTGTTATACCCCTTTTTGAAAATTGACAGCTTGTTTTTGATCACAAAGAAAGGTATTGATTGATACTGCTGATTGAATGAAAGCTGAGGTAACTCACTAGTGAATTCAGTTGTTCAATATTGCCTTTCATTAAGATACAGGGTGTGTTAGATTTTGTTGAAGATTATTTAAAATGTTTCAATTGAATATCTCGAGAACAGTTCCGTTAATTTGGATCTCATTTTACTAACACTATTTTGAATATGTTGACTCTCATATGCGAAAAGTTTTTTAATTCTTTATGTTTCGTTTCTGAGATATCAATTCTTGAGCTTACAGTATTACAGGTATTATAGGGTTATCACCTCGGATATTACTATCGATTCAACAGAACTTTATGGAATCTTCCGAACATTCAATAACATCATAATAGTTTATTTATTTATTTATTTATTTATTTACAATTTTGGCAGCCCAAACAGAAAAAATTAATTTTCCGATTGAAGGGCAGCACAATATCCAAAATTAAATATTTCGATATAATTCACAAAAATGTTATGATATTGAAAATATAAAAAATATAAGTATATGTCTATCAATAGAAATGTTGAAATCTTCACAATTTGAATAGAGAGAGAAAAAAAAAAAAAGAAAAAAAGAAGTTTTCATTTGAAAATTCAAAATTTTATCCTTACAAGAGAAACACATATTTTTTCATATTATATCTAACTTATATTAGATAATAATAATATCAACTCATTATAGTTCTGAGAGTATTGGAACAAAGACTTTTAATTGCAGATAAGGGTTCATGAAATATATCAACATTACCAAAATATTTATTATATGTGTCAAAAATTTTGGTCACTGGTGCATTATAACTGTAGTTAGTGGAACGGATCTCAAGATGGAAGAAATTTGAATTTCTATAGGAATAATGAGGAATTCTTATAGACATCTGCTGAAGTACATAGGAACTATCTATTCTATTATTTAATACTTTGTGAAGGAATACCACATAAGCCAGTTTTCTGCGATTTTCAAGGGAATCTATTTTGAAAAAAGTTAAATTATTTTGGTAGGTATTCCCAAACCGTTCTCTGTTGAATTTATATATCAAAAAATTCATGAACTTCTTCTGAACTCTTTCAATCCTCAGAATGTACTTTAGGTAGTTATTTATGTAATAAGGATCATAAAGACGATCATTATGGTACAAGTCGTAAATGTTATCGGGCGAGGCGTAGCCGAGTCCGATAACACGGCGTGTGCCATAATGATTGTTTATGATTCGTATTACATACAAAATTTTATCTGATGGCATTTATATCAATACATTTTCGAAAAATTAAAAACTGCATTTTCGACATGTCACAATGGCAACTTTTTTTAAAGGAGTAAGTATTGTGTAGTTTTAAATATTAGTAGGTGAGTGAGCTGTGCTTTGCCATCATATTAATATTACAAATTGTAGTAATTGTTCTTTTACCATTTATAATAAATAGTTTTGTACATAGTTATGCATTTTGAATAAACTTTTTTGATCAAACCATTACATGTTTTCCTTATGGAATTTCATTATGGTACTTAGTACCATAATGAGCTTCCTTATGTCATCAAAATTGAGTGACATAACGTTGTCATTATGACATGCCATCAGATAAAACTATTAAAGGTCAATAATTTTTTCCTATAGGTAAACAACGTAAAGTTCTGTTGATTCGATAGTAATATCCGAGGGAATAACCCTATAATACCTGTAATACTGTAATCTCAAAAATGCATATGTCAGAAACGAAACATAAAAAATTGAAAAACTTTTCGCATATGAGAGTCAACATATTCAAAATAGTGTTAGTAAAATGAGATCCAAATTAACGGAACTGTTCTCGACATATTCAATTGAAACATTTTAAATAATCTTCAACACAATCTAACACACCCTGTATCTTAATGAAAAGCAATATTGAACAACTGAATTTGCTAGTGAATTTCCTCAGATTTCATTCAATCAACAGTATCAATCAATCCCTTTTTTGTGATCAAAAACAAAATGTCAATTGTTTTCCAAAAGGGGTATAACACAAAATTCAAAGAATTCATATTTGGAACAGAGATAGTTATCAAGAATGAAAATACGTTTTTGAAACCTACAATAGACTGAAACTATAATGTCTCACCAAAATATAACTTGTTGGTTTTGGAATAGTGCTCGAATTTTTTTTTCCCAAAATGAATTTTTTGACCGTGCCTCGTATACACCCTGATTTACTATAATTTATGTGATCATAACTAGACATGTATTTGAGTTCCGATCAATACATTTTCTAGCTTATTTTGTCTCATTTATACTAAAAATCATTTTTTCCTTTGTCAATCCTACCCCGATACGACGTTTTTACGAACTTTGTCGGCTTATATCTCAGGAACTAAACATACAAAACATTTCAAACTCACATATTTTTTAATGAGCCATCCCACAACAACATAGTCAGTCAATTCGACCGAGAGCCAATTTCAGTGTTTTCGTGCGGGGTCCTTTATTTTATATATATGTGGGTCTGGAAATGCATATTTTTCAACAAACAGTGTGACAAACTTGAAAAAAATCGTTTTATATGGATATATCAAATGTCCTTCCACCGATTTCATTGAATTTTGGCAATGCTATTTTTTGTCATGAGGGGCTGATATAGCCATAATTCAATTGAAATTATAGAATCCAGTGGCGTCCTAGGGGGCAACCTACCGAATATTATTGTCAATAAAAGGTGCGCCACTGATTTTGTTGAATTCTGTATCTTCATAACCTATTGACCAACTAAAAATACAACATATTCTGGTCACCTGATGAATTTGTGCCAGAAAATTCCTTCAAAAACTGGGGTGAAACAAATGCGTAATTCATGTCCATAGACATAGAATAAGAATGAAGAATCATCTATATTTGAAGATTATGAATCTTCATTCTTATTCTATGTATATGTCTATGGACATGGATCACGCATTTATTTTCACTCCTGTTTTTGAAGTAATGCTTTGAACAAATGTATACAATAAATTGGTATTTATTTTTTTCCACGGAAACTAAGCACAGTTCACAGACAGTTCAAGAGACCGAAATGTTTTGTTTTTAGTTGGTCAATAGGATATGAAGATACAAAATTCAAAAAAATCAGTGGCGCACATTTTATAGACAATAATATTCGGTAGGGTAGGGACGCCACTGGAATTCACAATTCCAATTCAATTATAGCTAGATCAGTTCCTCATGACAACGAATATCATTGCCAAATTTCAAGGGATCGGTGGAAGGATATTTGATATATTCATGAAGAACCAATTTTTTTTCAAAAAGTTTATGACACTGTATTTTGAAAGGAAGCGTTTCCGGACCCACGTAAATATGAAATAAGTTCATGTTTTCTCATGCAGAATCACCACCTTGATTTTATGCGCATAATTTCCGGACACCCTAAAAATTAAATAATATTAACAAGTATTCACCATTAACCCAACTACTTGCTACTATTATTAAATTTTTTTCACTATTCTCAATGTTTTTATGATCGTTTGAGGGTAGCTCAAATGAAAACATCATTTATCGTCATTATAGAGAATAGTTTGAATTGAGTCCTTTTACAATTTGTGGCACATTTAAAGATATTTGTTCCCTATTCCAGAATAAATTGCTGCATTTTGAGGATAAAATAAAGCAGCTAGAAGTTAATTTGAACAAACACCAAGATGATGTCTATGAAATAAAAGCAGCAATGAAGAATATTTTGCGTCCGCCTGCCAATGTCAATTCACAGATGAACAGGCATGTGCCTTCAAATTTGGACGTCCCAAGAACAAATTATTTGGCTATATCTGAAGTTAGATACAATAGCAGCTGTTCTATTCAAGTCAAGGTTGCTCCCAGAACGGATGTGCAAATGTTGGAATTGTATAAAGTGTTGAATTTTGATAATCCTGACGGTGGGGTTTGGAAACAAGGGTGGAGAATTGAGGTGGATGAGAAAGATTGGAATAGACATAATAAATTGAAGGTTTGTAGCTTAACGTTAAAAAAAATCGGTCCTTAGGTGAATGTTTAGGGGCGAGTGGTAATACTGTAGTGTAAAAAGAGTACATTAGTATCAAGTATTATAATATTTAAGAAAAGCGCCGAAGCGATTTTTTTATTTATTCAAGGTCAACTGCCTTTAAATTTAAAATTGGATTTTCTTCTTTCCTTGAAACAACTGCCTATTTTCACTAATATCATGGGTAAAAAGATTCAAAAAAGAAAACATATTTATTGAAAATAGTAGATTAGATTAGATTTGGAATGGGGCTTTCGGGCTATCTGCCTCCACACTGCGACCTTTTCAGATCTATTGTGTCTGCCCTCAAAATCGGTTAGAGTTCTTCGGCTAGCCCCGCCTTCTCTATGAGACTCCATAGGCTAGCTTTCAGATCTCCTGTGTATCTCTGGGCTCCTGGTTTTTGCTCACCCAGCGTAAGGAACCTTAGTCTTGACAAGCCCTCACAGTGGCAAAGTATGTGTACTGTTGTTTCTTCCTCTTCTTGACAGAACCTGCACAGCAGTTCTTCAGTCAGACCTATCGTACTCATGTGTTTGTTGAGCCTACAATGCCCTGTGAGAAGTCCCACTAGTATTCTAGTTGAACTTCGTTTCTGGCTTAGTAGATATTCTGTGAATGTTGGCGATGGATTTTTAATAAACTCTTTAGCCTGTCTCATTCCTGGCGAGTTGTTCCACCATTCTTGAGATTTGGTTTGCATCCATGATTTGATACTAGTCTTTTGTATAGCTTTCGCATTACCACAGAAGGGTTCTGGGCCATTAAGAGCTTTGTTTGCTCCTGCTCGGGCAAGTGAGTCTGCCTCTTCATTGCCCTCGTACCCTGTATGTGCTGGTACCCATGCTAGAGTCAATCTGTTCTGACTGCCTAGTGCATTTAGGGTTTCTAAGCAGTCCCATACTATATATCGAAGACTGGAACCTTTGGCACAAGAAGAGAAGAGAAGATTAAAACTTAATTATTATTATTAATTAATCTTCTCCTGAAGATGCTAACATAGTTAGCGAAACACGTGTCGAGGCGTTAAAAAATCGGTTTGGTTAGTGGAAAAACAGTGTAGTGTAGTCTTATACTAGCTTTGAGTTAACTTGCATAGAGTTGCCTGCTTTGATTGCCGCCTGGCTATCTGAATAGATTGCAATGGTTTTGCCTTTAAACTCTTGCCTTATCAATTCTTTCACGCAATGATGTATTGCAATAATTTCTGCCTGAAACACCGTCGCGTATTTGCCTAAGCTCAGTGAGATTCTTGTCTTTGGCTTGGCCCCATATATACCAGCTCCTGATCCTTCATCAGTTTTGGAGCCGTCCGTATAGACAGCAATGCCTGCATTGATAGGAGGTCCTTCCTTCCATGCCTCTCTGTCCGTTATACTTATTTTAAAAGTTTTTTCAAAGCTATATTTTGGAATCATGCCATCCGTTGGCATCCCCATGATGGGGTCGCTTTCCAACTCTTCATATAGCTTCCTATAGTCTTTAGCGTGCGCGTTGCTTATGGGTGCTTGACCCTTGAAAATAGTAACTAAACAGGTACAAATCAGGTATACACCTGTATAACAATATGGTGAATTCATGCATGCTTACCTCAATAACTTGTCTCAACTTAAGAATGAGGGGTGATTATTGGTTGATTTCAGATAACATTTCTTAATCTACCAATCACCTCTAATTCTTGAGTTTGGACTAAGTTAAGATGAATTCACCATATTGAAAGAACCATGCCGATAACATCGGAGAACGGTTCACGAGTGATGAAACAAGTTTCTTTCTTTCCTGATCTTTTTTCAGTTTGTTTATATTCCTTATTTTTCTATTACCAGATTTTGACTATTAAATTTCTAAACGGGACCTAGAAAAGAGGACATTTACCTTTCAAATGAAAAAAGAAAGACTTCGAAAACACAGCAGCCTTGAAAAAGAGTACCTACTTGTACTATAAAAAGAGTTCGTCTGGTCACCCTAGGCCCTAGAGTTCCTAAATGTACTGGACACTGCTGTTTTGACGTTTTCTGTATCAAAAAACGTCAAAACAGCAGTGTCAAGTACATTTAGGAACTCTACCCTAGCCTAGGTAATAAATAAATACTGCCACAGCTGTCCAAAATGACACTAGTGTAGGCAAACAACAAATTGTGAAATTATAATTTCAAATTTTTGTTGTTGATGTTATTTTTGTTTAGAACCGCCCTTGCAGTGATATCCATATAAAATTTCCTAAGCCTTTGTCAATCGAAGTTGAGGTTGAAACAAATACTTTTTCCAACGTTGAAATGAATGAAAGTTGAATATCTTTCAATGGAATGAATCTTTCAGGTGTTTGTTGTACCCCATTCCCACAACGATCCAGGCTGGATCAAGACCGTCGAAGAGTATTATGCGACTCAGACAAAGCATATCTTAGATAACATGCTGAACAAGTTACCAGAAGATCCTAGGAGAAAGTTCATATGGGCGGAAATATCCTATTTTTCCATGTGGTGGGCTGATCTCGATGAGGATGACAGGGAAAAAGTCAAAAGGTATTAACATCTTCACTTTTAGTAATTGTAAATTCTTTGAAAAAATGTTTTCTGGAATCTGACCCTTTTTCAATATCGGCAATCAAACAGTAGACCAGATTGGTATTATCGTTTATTTTTTGCTGATGGTCTTAGCCAGTAGTTAGCCGTTAGTAATCATAATGAGATCATCTTGGTTGAAGGTGACATTATTTGACATGGTTATATTGTATGCTCGCCTCTAATGGCAAAATTTCAAAGTCTTAAGAATGCCACTTCAAGTTCTGTGATGATACTGAGACGTTGTGTCATGACTTAGCTACGATTCAGAATTCATGTAAATGGGTTGAATTCCGGTCCTCCATCGCAACACCTCGATGTGGCTCACCCCTGGAAGTTTGAAGTGCATGGTTAAATGATGAAACTCACTGATTGAACTAGAGCATAAACATCATATAATTATGTTCAGCTGTTTCGTATTCCACTCAGCAGGACCGACATGAAAAACGCGGGAAAGCGCGTGATAAAATTTACTGTGAACAATCCAACGCAATCATATGAGATTCTGACCGTCATTTTGTTTGAAAACGAGATCGACAAATTACAAACTATAGTCTTCCATGAAATTAATAAGTGAAACCCTCCCCATGTGCAAGTTTTTTGAATATTGTTATCAGATTTTTTTATTTTTCCGTCAGCTCTGGGTAGAGGTCAACACTCCATGGACCTCCCCCTTCTCACATCGCTGCTTTTTGCTGCCTCTAATATGAACTGGATAACATTTCCTTCATAGAGGTACTCGATTTGTACGACCATTAACGATAATTTACACACGTGGCAAAGTGGTACTACAAGTAAACCACTCTGCTGACAGATGGCATTACCTGACTAATCTAGTGGAAGATCCACCAATCCTATTCATGGAACTAGATCTCATAACTAAGATAAACAGAGATGCCTCAATTGTTAGCAGGAGCGAGACAGTACTGTATCGGCAGATCAGGCCCACTCAGACGCCGGATAATGCATGATGATCTAGTCATGCTATCGCTATCTAGTGGGCGAGCGAGACAGTACTATTTCGGCCCACCAGGCCGGATCAGCCGCTCTTGGTCTGCTGACAACTGATACAACTTAACGCTTCGAAGACGCCATCTAGTGGTCGAGTGCGGCTGATTAGGCCTGGTGGCCGAAACAGTACTGTCTCGCTCCTTCCACAGAATACTCAACAATCAGAATAGCATCTCGCGCAGGAGTGGGTTTGCGCATATTAACCGCTTAGGTTGTCTGCCATCGTCGTAAGTCACTTGTTTACATGTTTATCGAATTCTGAGCTGTAGAATGATCGTGTGAAATATTCAGATATTTAAGTACATATTATATTTTTGCTGTGTTGTGTTGTTGTTTGGGTTGTACTGTTCGAATAAGTTTTGGTGCCTACCTAATTTGGTTGTGAATAAGAAGCCCATTAGAGATTCTTTATCTGCTTCATCTGTACTTGTAGACATGAGTGCTCAACAAAACTTGGAGGTGGTCATGTGTGCGCTGCTATAGGTTGCAAAAACAATTTTGAGACTTGATTTTATTCCTCATCTGATCAGAGTCAGTTGAATGAATATAATATACCCTGTTTACCTATTGACCAAGCAGAACTACAATTATTGAAAAAAAAATTAGTTGTTTTGTCAAGAAACAACTTGAAAAAATAATCTAATGAAAACCTGGTCAAATCTATCAAATTGAATTTTTAGCAATGTTTGTGTTCAAACCTGTCCTACTGAGATTGAAAATTAGCTTTTGTTAACTATTTTTCATTGACTTAAGTGTGAGTGTGATTTTGTAAGAATTGAATAGATTTTACTAGTATCGATAAATGACACAGAAAGTGAATAAATCCTGTTATTACAATCCTGTCATTTCCCTTAAAACGGATTTGCTTGGTAACCCAAGAACATGGCGGATCACAAAAAAAAGATCCTAAAATGTCAAGGGCGCCGACCAGAGAAGCACTTCTGATTGTTGTGCTCCTGCTGACAATTGAGACAAATCTATTCATCCTAGATCACTTGAGATCTAGTTTAATGAATAGTATTGGTAGATCATTTCGTAGGCGTAGGGGCCTGCACGTGTTGACTAGAAATGGCAATGCCCTACAGTGTAGGACGTGACCGCAAGGTCCTATACCTTAGAACTAACACCACTGATGTCGATAGCATGACTAGATCATCATGTATTATCAGGCAATATGAAAATTACAAGAAATATCAGTGGCCCATTGTTTTTTTGGTACTGCATTTCGACGTATCACCAGAAAATAATTTCAGGTTACTAAAAAATAATCAACTCGAGATAGTGACCGGTGGATGGGTGATGAACGATGAAGCGAACTCCCATTGGATGTCGATAATGTACCAACTGACAGAAGGTCATCAATGGCTTCAGAAGAACCTGAATTACACCCCTGTGAGTCACTGGTCTATTGATGCTTTCGGATTGAGTCTGACGCAGCCTGTGCTGCTCAAAAATATGGGCTTGCAGAATATGTTGATACAGAGAGTTCACTATTCGGTTAAAAAACATTTGGCCAGTCAACGGCAGTTGGAATTCAGATGGAGGCAATTGTGGGGTAAGAGTCCTCTTTCACCTCTAACTTGAAACACAAACCAATAATGTCATATATTTTATATGTGAATTAGTTTTTTGCTGCAATAGTTATTTATTTTTTTTTACCTTGTTTGTTAATGAAACCACAGATAGATCTTTATGAATTTCACTGGTGAAGCCACGAATCATAGAAATTTTTTCGAGAAAAAAGTCGAAAACCTAATGTTTCTTTCAATTTGGTGTTGGTTGGTTCCATGCCTGGCAGGAAATTCTCTAACGTAGGTATTCTTGAACACGCTCATTATTATATCGCAATATTCCTGTGAAATGAAACCTCATGTTTTTTTTTCTGATAAAAATCATGATAATAATTTCGGTGTTCAGTTGAAGTCGACATTGGATTGCACATATTGTGGTCATTGTTCTGTGACGTTCGATCCCTCTTCGGAGTTATCACTACCTATTCCTCAGAATATGAGAAAAGTCAGTTCATCAAACGGACTTGTTCAAAGTGCAGAAAGAAGCAGAAATGTTTGGATTCAATTTCAATCAACAAGTTTCCCCAAATTTCTCGTTTTCCATCTGAAACGTTTCTCGCAGACTGAAAGTTTCTTTGAGAAACATAATGTCATCGTCGACTTCCCCCTGAACGGTTTAGACATGAGCCACTACTCGTCTGATGCCATATTACCAGTTGGATTTGAGCTTGATGCTATTTTCAACCATAATGGTTCCATCTACACCGGACACTACTCGTCCTATTGTAGACACCCATATTCGAATGTTTGGTTCGAAAATGACGATTCTCGTATATCTTCAGTTTCGTCAAAATCTCTTGTCAGTAGGGTTGCATATTATTATTATTATTATTATTATTATTATTATTATTATTATTATTATTATTATTTGAGTTTATATGATTCCAGTCACGACCCTGCGGCCTCCGACGTCACGCAGAGTCGTGCTGGACAAAATCCAGTGACTACTCCTCACAGCCTGTGAGGTGAGTAATCACTGGGACCAAGTACCGTGTGCCCTGAGTAGACGCAATGATCCTATTATTATTATTATTATTATTATTATTATTATTATTATTATTATTATTATTAAATTTTAACAAGGGCAGAGGCAAGGCCTATTATGCCCAAAAATATATAGACAGATAATTGAATATTGAAGTGTACAGGATATTGTATGGGATGAATGGATATAAATGATACACATATTGCACAATACATATGGATACCTATAGTTCACTGAAACTGATACGAGTCATAGCGGTTTTTGAAAGTATTAACACTTGGCGCTGTTACCACATCACCAGGTAGGGCGTTCCACCTCGAAAATATTCGATTAGGAAAGAATTGTTGTCTAGCAGTAGTACGAAAGTTTTCTCGTTTCAACTTCATAGAATGACCTCTCAATCTGTCGTCATTCTGGAGTTGAAATAATCCAGAAAGATCTACAGAGAAGGAATCGTGCAGGATTCTGTTAAGTCATAATGGCGTCTCCTCTAATACGTCGCTCACTGAGGTAAGGTAGATTCAGGCGTGATAGACGTTGGTCGTAGGAAAGGTCACTAAAGCCTCTCACCATTCGAGTAGCATTGCGTTGAGCTCTTTCCAAATGTTGAATGTCTCGCACTAGATAAGGAGACCAAACCTGGACAGCATACTCTAGGTGTGGACGAATGTATGATTTATACAATTGATTGAAGAGCCTTGGTTCAGGATGATCGAAGCATTTATTGAGTAAGTAAGCGCGACTGTTTGCCTTACTAACAACAGCTGCAACTTGGTTCGACACTGACAGTTTTTTGTTGAAGATAACTCCCAGGTCGTTGTGATTCTCTACTGCAGGTATGGTCTTGTTATCCAAGTAATAATCGAAGTCGGGGTTATTATTGCCAACGTGCAAAACAGAACACTTGTCTATATTCAAAGGTATATCCCATGTGATGCACCAGTTTTGCACAGACCTCAGGTCAGATTGAAGATCATCATGACTGGATAATGGATTTCCAAAAAACTTGCTATCGTCAGCAAAAAATGCATGGTCAGATTCCAAAACTTCGTGTAGATCCGATGCATAGGCAAGGAATAATGTTGGCCCCAGAACTGATCCCTGAGGCACTCCAGATAAAACTTGGTGAGAGTTTGAGTGACTCGAACCAACCCTCACTCTGAAGACCCTATTAGAGAGGAATGCGGCTATCCATTTGTGGAGTTTTCCTCTTACACCAAAGTGTTCGAGTTTATGTAACAGCTTGTCTCGAGGAACCTTATCGAAGGCCTTGGAAAAATCAAGGTATACTATATCAATAGGTGATGAGGTGTCAAGATATTGAGTCCATTTATCCACGCAGTAGAGGAGGTTTGTTGTAGTTGATCTTCCAGGTATGAAGCCATGCTGGTTGGATGGAATCACCTTGTTGTCGAGCAAAAATGGCAGAAGGGCGTCGACAATGATTTTTTCTATGATTTTCGCACATAGGGATACCAGGCTAATAGGCCTATAGTTCCTGGGGTCAAGTTTATCCCCTTTTTTGAATATTGGAGTAACTGATGCAATTCGCCAGGCCGACGGCAGGTATGACTGAGAAAATGAGAATTCAAAGATATGGCTCAAAGGGCGTGAGAGGACCGATGAGTATTTCTTCAGTATGAAGGCTGGTATATTATCTGGCCCGGGAGATACACCATCCTTGATATTCTTTAGCTTTTCTACTACGATCTCTGGAGGAAAACAGATATGGTTCAGAGAGTTAGGACATCGCCGTGAAACAATGGGAGGTAGAGCTGACATGTCGCTTATGGAAAAACATTCTTCAAAATTTCTAGCCAGTACTTCGGCAGCTATGTCGTTAGAATCGCAAACGATTCCATCGCGATCACGGATAATGGGGGTTGAAATTTTGGATGCAAGTTTACTCCTTGTGTACTTGTAAATAGATTTTGATCCTTTATTTGCAAGATTCGATTCAAATTTTCTCTTAGCATTACGTAGATCTCGAGAAAGGTCACAAGAGAAAGAGCGATATGCTTCAAAATCGACATGACTTCTTGTAGCTTTATATCTCGATCAGAGTTTTCTTTTTCTGTGGGAGCGGTGGATGAATGTATCATCGATCCAGGGTTTTTTACTGTTAACTTTTCTCTGAAGTTCGTATGAACAAGAGTCCATCGCATTTAATAATGAGTTAGACAAGAACTCCCACTTGGAGTCGACATGTGTTCGGGAGTAAAGTTCATCCCAGCTCAGAGAGGACAGTATCGCCGATAGCTTTTTGTGGTCTATTCGTTTCTGTTTCATCGTAGTATTACGAGGTTTTTGATCCGCGATGGTTTGTAAGTTGCTGGTTATTACAATGTGATCGGAACAACCAATTGGTGGGCCAAAGGAGGTATCATAGAATATGTTCCTTTTTTATCAACAAAAGGGATGTATTATCCTTTTATTGTATTTTCCATTCATTGAAGCATAATTATTTCTAAAATCATGATTTGTGGGTATGGTTTCCATCGAGTGAATTCAACAAAGTTACCAGCTCATAGAGTTGTATTTCCGTGAATATTAGATATTATTATTCTTCATAGATATCACTCTGGAATTTCGAAAATAAATATGCCATTTGGAGTGACATTAAGATGGTACATATTATTGTGATTGCAATTGACATAAAAATCGATAAAACTTTTTTGAGTATGCCATTGACCAGATTACGTTTATAATTTTATAATAATGATAACTAACAGTAATTGAAATCATAATAGAAGGAAATGATTGCACAAGAAATAAACGAATTCCCACATAAGTTTCCTTGCTCATGGGCATCATATCCTCGCGCAATGTTCATCCCATATTTAACGTTAATTTTATTAATTTGGTTTATAAATTGTTCAACTACTCCAGCTTCCTACCTCAAATTATTATGAAATCAAATATATCATTAATGTTCGTAATGCAAGGTGTAGTGTTCATTCAATACGAAAAACCGGAATGTATCTGATGAAGACAACTTTATCATTTGAAATGTATGTTACTGTTCTTCAAGATGGCACCGGTAATACGGATATGTTTACACACATGATGCCTTTCTATTCGTACGATGTCCCGCACACATGTGGACCAGATCCAAAAATATGTTGTCAGTTTGACTTCAAAAGACTGCAAAACCACGGATTTCATTGCCCTTGGAGAGTGCCACCTCAGGTGATAACAGATCATAATGTAGCTGAAAGGTGAGTGGTGTGATAGGGATATATTTTGTAGAGATCAGTACTCTTCTAGTGAGCTTTCCATACAGATGTGCTGGTCTTAATAATATATTCATTCTCAATTATTGACAGAATGATTGTCTTTATTATTCCAAGAAACAATAGAGTTTATAATTGTGTTCAATAGTCTAGGAGAGGCGTCTGCGTACTGGCGAGAATTTTTTTCTTTCGAGAATAAACAAGCTTGAGTTGTTTGACATTAAATTTCAAATGACATTCAATGACAACGGGTCAATAATACAGGCAATTCATGGACTGATAGACTGTTGGCCTGCGACACAGGGTTTATCGATGTTCTAAGTCGGTATGCCATTTAAGGGACCCACTCACTTAGTCCAAGTTAACAGGAAGGAGTGCCTCGGAGAGACGCTACCCAGTCCTTGCCCCGGCCCTGACATCACCTTTCGGTTGGAAAAAAGTTCAAAATTTCGTTTAAGAAGAAGCTCGGCAATGAGGTGCAATGATCTAATCTCACGAAAATTTGGGCGCTTGCCGGTTTGCATGCGCCTATGTCACTCCCCAAGGGCGGCATACGAACCGGAAGTGGCAATTTTTCAGTGTTATAGTCGATGATCTAAGAATGTATGCCCTTTGGCGAAACAATGAATTCGGACCCATTAATCAGTTTCCCGACATTTGCATACGATTTCGGAGAGGGGAGCCCGACTTATTCGAACATCAATTGACTAGACATCTTTCAAATAATCGATGATTTAAGTTCGTATGCACATCTCTGGACCGATAAACTAGGATATTCTGTATAACTGAATGTTCCGGTTCGTATGCCGCCCTTGGGGAGTGACCTAGGAGTATGCAAACCGGCAAGCGCCCCAATTTTCGTGAAATAAGATCATTGCACTTCATTGCCCAGCTTCTTCTTAAACACAATTTTGAACTTTTTTCCAACCGAAAGCTGAGGTCAGGGCCGGGGCAAGGACTGGGTTGCGACTCTCCGAGGCACTTCTTCCTGTTAACTTGGACTAAGTGAGTTGATACCGCATCAAACTAAGTTTGATATTTTTATGTTTAATCAAAAATGTGATAGTGTAGCATTGTTTTGATCATTTAAATAATTTTAGGGAGTCCATTGGTTTCTAGATTCAAAAATAAAATTGGTGCTGTGACAAATCAAATATCGACTTTAAGAGATATATAAGATAATTTAGTAAGAAGATTTAAAAAATGTTATATTATTCCTTCAAAAATCAGTTTATTTCAATGTTCCAAATTTCAGAACTATTGATAATGAAGAAAATGGGGTATACCATGATTCTGAGTCACATGTTGTGTAGCTTTTGTTAAATGTCACTATTTGTAATTTAAATTATACTAACAGCATAGACATAACAGTCAACAATTCATGAATGAGATTATATCAGTCATTACTGTCCAATCAAACTGAAATTCAGAATGTCTTGTCTGGAATCAAAAGTCCTGTATATATCAATTATACTGTCATTTTGATTTGTCCCTTGAATTTAGCAAAGTTAATTCCTCTGATGAATCTGCAATTTTTAGAGCCCAACTTCTACTAGACCAGTACAGAAAAAAGTCGAAACTGTTCAAGACCAATGTTGTTCTGGCACCATTAGGAGATGATTTCAGATATGACCATCCCACTGAGTGGGATGTACAATACAGCAACTACCAAAGGTTATTCGATTATCTGAATTCGAATTTGCAGTTGAATGTGAAGGTGAGTGGCATAAGGATCAATTTATATTTCGATTCTTCAGTTTTTCTTCTTGTAGGCTCAATTCGGTACACTGTCCGATTATTTTGCTGAAGTACGAAAAGAAAAGGAAATGGCTGATTTTCCTGTATTGTCCGGTGACTTTTTCACTTATGCTGATAGAGATGATCATTATTGGAGCGGATATTATACATCTAGACCTTTTTATAAACGAATGGACAGAATTTTGCTGTCATACGTTAGGTATTGATATTCAAAGAGGGTAAAGGAAAAATAAAAATTATGCCCTCTCTTCAATTAAAATAAATATGAACTCAAAATCATCCAATATTTGCAGTTTAATGTTGATTCAACAAGAATACATGATATTTTATAATAGATCTAAATGCAAATATTTATCATTATACAGGCTGTTCCGTCATAAGAATCAGTTTATATTATTTCTTCGACAGTTATAGGTTAAATTCTCATTCTTGTTGCTTATGCTTGTCCGAACTGTTCCAAAGTAATTTAAATCTTTTATACTTCCACCAATTCAAGAGTAGCAAATGAAAATAGTTCTTGTTGTATCATTATATGAATCACTAACATAAAATTTCACCATTTTACTTAACTCCTTATATATCTGTATCATTTCAGTGCAGGCACTTTATTGATGATGAATATTCAATAATTTTTTTTTCTGTGACGAGAAAAAAGTTAGAAATTTCGTCTCTGTTGACAGGTTATAAAATGTCACTTTTCATAAATTACTTTTTTCCCTCGGGAAACAACTGAGTAAATTTTTCCCGGGTATATATCACTTCTATATACACTGTTGATGGCTTTTGTTGTGCTATTGTTCCGAAAAATAAGCCAATAACACCGTCTCCGAGAAAGAACTGCAAGTCCTTTTATATTCCATTCGACTTCGCGGTTACCGTAAATTACTAAACAACCACTAAATTCGCAATTTTTTGACATTAAATCACAGAATTAGACTGACAGATATTTGATTGCTTCAAAATAATGATAATGTTATATCTTCTCAATATTGATTCGTCCTTTTCCTGTCACAGAAAAGAATAGTGTATTATACAAGGGAAAAATTTCGATTTTTGTTATGTCGGGTAGCTAAAATCTACTACTTTTTCTCTTGTATAATAAACACCTAATTATTTTGATATGTGAATTGAAATATTTCGTGATATTTCCATGATATTTCAGAGCTGCTGAATCCATTCTAGCCTTGACACATCTGAATTCAAACAAAATTTCTTCTTGGCTTAAGGATAGTAAAAATGGACTTGAAACAATTCTCACCAATGCTCGACAATCTCTTTCCCTATTTCAGCACCATGATGGTATTACTGGCACAGCCAAAGATCATGTCGTCATAGACTATGCAAGAAAGTAAGTTATATTTATTGTCTCCATCACCCCAAGTGTTTATAATAGGGATATGTGAGCAAATATCAATAACAAATTATTAAATAATCAAAAGTTCACCTACCCATTACTGAATCTGGTTTCATACTTCATAAAGAGAGCTCTGAGCTGGAGTAGAGTCAGGAAAATAAAGAGAGATGAAATATTTCTTGAAGAAGTGAAAAAGCTCTCTCTTCGCTCTTTGAACAGCTAACTACAATTTGATTGAATTTTTCATTGGCAGCTTCACAACTTATTTATAAATTGTAAAGTCCCAAATAATTGTATTGCTCATATTTTATATAAATTATGTATTTCACTATTATGTTTCAATGTGTTGAAAAAAATGTTGTGCTTGTTAATATGCCTCTATATCAGATGAGATTTTATATGGAAGGGTAAGCTTTGTCGACAAAACTATCATTCTACAATATAGCATTTCTGATTCTCAATCTCACCCAGTGGAAACGAATTTTCTATTCTTGAGGTGAATGTTCTCAATTGTTAGTTCTGACATATTAATTCGATCATTGATACTACTGATACTGATACATCCGGTCTTGCATTACATATATTCTATCGTTTCATTTGCCCCTACTTAAGAATCTCTTTTTATCTGTTAATAATGTAGGTCTGTTGAGTTTCACATCGGAAGTAAATAACTAAGAAATCTAGGACGAACAGAATTGCCCCAATTGCTTGCATGAGCAAGACAGTACTGATTCGGCCCACCAGGCCTCATCAGCTGCTCTCGGCCTGCTGACAACTGGGACAACTCAACACTTCGTATATGTATATCACCCATTTCGAAGACGCCGGATAATGCATGATGATCTAGACCCTGCGGTCGCGTCATACACTGTAGGATGCTGCCATCTATAGTCAAGAAGTGCAGGCTCCTACGTCTATAGTGTATCAGTCTGAGTAGGTGGCAACAGTGTCTTTTATTATACCGTCGTGGCGCGATGGGCGCGGAACTGACAGCTTCAGCGAATATGGTACAAGTGAACAGGTTAGGTGTGCACATGTGAGGCTAGGATATTGAATATCAAGGCATTGCATAAATAGACTACCGAATATTACGTAGTGTTTATCATCCCTTCAGGGATAAATGATCCAAGCGGGGTAAGACACTACAACGTCTACAACGTTGCAATAACTATAAGTAAACCACTCTGCTGACAGATGGAACTACCTGCCTACGTGACTGGGAGATCCACCAATCCTATTAATTGAACTAGATCTCATAACCGAGAGATGTTGGACCCAGATCTTCCACTCAAGTAGTCAGGTAGTGGTTTACTCGTAGGTACACTTTACAACATGTTCAGTGTATGACGCGATCGCAGGGTCCTACCTTAGAACTAACTCCACTACATGGCGATAGCATGACTTGATAATCATGCATTGTCCGGCGTAATCCAACCCTGCCAAGTCCAATCATAACTTGGGTTTTTGTATTTACATATCGAACAGCACTATATCAAAACTCGTTTCTCTATAGAACGGGAAAGCCCTGGAATTCATTGCCTGAGGAAGTATTTCCAAGAACTTATAATCCCCAAAAGTTCAAGAAGAATTCCAACACCTACCTCCTCTCCCTATCCTCCCTAGGTGCGCACGATGTTCTTCGAACATTAGAGGGACTCCCTTTCGTGCGCAACAAGGGATAAAAAAATACAATATTGTTTCTGCAGAAACATTTTACTAGGTAGTACAAACTTTGGTAGTACGATTTAATCGACTTATAGTTTCTTACACATTAGTTCAAATTCTGATAACAATGGTGAAATAAAAATTAATATGTTTTGAACACTTTTCAGGATGCTCAGAGCTATCAGTGGTTGTCAGAAGGTAATTCAACTTTGTACGCACATCATGCTGAATGGTGTGGATAACGAGTTGCCGAACAAAGATACGAGTTATTACAATGTGGATGACGTCAGACATTCTCATGATGCCCTGCCGGAACATTATCAAATAACTATCGGTGTTCCGGAAATGACTACGAAGAAAGTGGCCATTTACAATTCTCTCACTTCTGCAAGGCACGAAGTGGTCACTTTCCATGTGTCAACGCCGTTTATTGAGGTGAGTTCAATTAGTGAGCCAAGCCATCGAACAACAACTCTCAGGCTAAGTGAAGATTCATTTTATATTTGCAAGGAAACTATTTCATTTCATTTAGACCCAATTGTTCCTTCCACGTAACAAGGGGACGCAAAAGTAATCACTGGAAAATGCTCTTATTTCTGCAAAAGGAGTCGTCTGTCAACGTGACGAAGAGGACTTGTTGAATACCTACCAACAAATCATGGAGCGTTATTCTCGATATCAACTGTTATTGAGGGAGTTTCGAAATTTTTTTCATGGTTTTTCAATTAGGTTGTGGTGGTCTTGTTGTTTAATTTATTGTTCATTAGTATGGTATTAGTTTGATAAGAGTTCGGACACAGCTGAACTTTTGTCCTTTTCTATTTTTTATAATACAATGGTTCAAGTGAATAAAAGAATAAGACATATATTCTGCTCTTTGTCTTTTCAATTTCCATAGTAGCGCCTGATTATCAGATACGATTTTAGAGGTTATATTTTCTGTCAAATCAATCATAGCCGTAGATGGCTAATGGATATAGGGTACAAACACCCACTTCAATTCATAGTGATACACTTCTAGCACAACGACTGTTATATAAATGGAAAGAATGCATGTAACAACATTTTGATATTAGAAAATATACACATATGGATAAACTTATAGCTATAATTCCTCATTGTATGTGAAACTGTACTCCAGTGATAAGTATAAAACATGAAGTTATTAATTAAATTAAAGGAATGTATTTTCAGGAATATACAGGAAGTAACATAAGTACGTTCAAGTGAAGTATTCCTGAGACAATTTTAAGAAATAAAGTCTATATAAGCTTGTGTCCGGAAATGCTTCATTTATACAGATACAGGGTGTTGAAATACAGAGAATAGATCATGGTTCGATAAACATTTCATAGGAAAAAAGTAGTTTATTAGTTTATTTTGACGAGACCTACCAAATACTTGGTTTTGTATAGTTCTCAGCAGCTGCACTTACCGCCCTAGGAGCTATGTAACATGGATCGATATAGAAAATATCTCCAAAACGATAACCTCCAGCGTAATTAAGGCCTTTATGATAATTCTCTTGATTCATAAAAACTTATTCACTTTTCACTGTGGAATTTTGAATTTGGTCGGCACCAGAAACGCCATATTCAATAATATTTCACGTTGTAGTTTACTTGCTTTTCTTAGTTTCGTTTTCAAATCTTCAATTTCATTATGTAATTTTGCGGTCAATTCCTCTTTTTCCATGATTATTTTGTTTTGTATTTTGTGTGATGATAATATTAGAATTTTGTTCTTGAAATCGTCTGCTTTGTAAATTGATGGAACAGCAGATTCTCTCAGAACAGATTTTGAAATCATTTGTTTGAAAATGAGCCTAAAATATAGTTTCATTGTGATCAGATGCTGTTACAAGAAGTGAATTTTAATGAGTACCCCACGAATTTCGCTCGTCTTCAAATTGATTTTCCACCCAGGCCGTTTCATATCTTCCGAATGGTTGATATTTGTTTTGGAAAATTGAATAAATGATATCCATTTTTTCAGAATTGGCACAATTTTTCACACAGCAAGTGATTTCCATAACTGCTTTCTCCTGGAAAGTATAATTATGAAACTTTATTTCAATTCTGACGTTTATAAAATTTATTGTCAAATTCAAACAATTGGCAAGGTGATCGACCGTTGGGGGCGCTGTTTCAAAACAAGATGGCGGCAAAGAGTGTGTAGTTTTTTTACAAAATTTCTTGAGATTTGCATACATTTTCTTCTTGATATTTCATCATGTTATTTGAGTTTATTGTTGAACTTTTTACTGAAATCATAATATTTTTTGTTGGATCATACTGTTTCATCGTGATGTGAGGAAAATAACTGTTACCTACTGACTGAATCGTGGACCAAATAGTCTGAGCTTTCTTCAAACCAGTGCATTTCTGTGGGACAGTTTTATGGGATATCAAAAATCACAAGCATATCCACTAACATCAGAAGCTGATATATTCACCATAATACCTCTATAACTCCACTCTTCAAGCAAAAGGATCCTACAGAACACAAAAAATGGTGATACCAGGAGTGAAGTTTTTCAACAGTGAACAGCCTTCTGTGAACATTATTGAAAACCATCCCTAAACAATGTGTTAACCTATTCAACTATTTTGTGCTAAATATTATAGCCATCAGAATCATGTGCAATTGATCCATACAATAGAAATCAGCAGCAACCAGCTCTAATGAGTCTTTCCAAGCAATAATTCAACACCAAAGGCATCCTGACATTACTGTGGATTTAATATTAGATACAACTATCAATGGCCTATCTTCAACAATATTACTTCCAGGCTTTGAGGATTGTTTACAGTGCAACTCCCATACCTCATATTTTATGGTGCTTCACTGCAATAACAGCAAATTGTCATGATCCTATGTGCCATGTGTGTGAATTGTATCAATATGAAACACTTTTCATAATGTGAATATTCCTAATATAGGTACTTAGAGTTGAGGTAGGTGGCATCCTAGACTGAGTTTTCTTCTTGGAATTCATTCAATATCTTGTAAAGCTAGTTTTTTTTACCATTTTGATGAAATCATTGAATAATTTGGAATTCCACCACATAAAACATTGATCAAATGACCTCTAGGATTTCAGTTAATGTATTTACACAGTATATTATCATAATTTTGTGATCTGATATCATTTTGTAATCCTAAATTCATCTAATTGAAAATATCAATCTGTATAGTTCATTATGTTTTGTATATTTTGGAACTGAATTAATAATAATTTTTGAAAATGAAAGTACATTAACATAACATGTGTTTTACTGTACTTATGCCACTCCAAAGAAGTCAAGAAAGAAGTACCTACAAATAGGAGGATCTTCCAGTATACTCCTTCCCTCAGTGCTCATGTATACTGTTTTTCCCTGAATTATTTTACAAGATACCTTCATAAAAATTTACAATTATAAATGAATTTGAAATCCAGGACTTTCATATATGTAGAAATAAATTAACAATGAGCAAAAGTAAGTATCTACCTGGTAGGTACCTATTTTAAAAGGAATCAGTAAAGATTATAAAGTGAAACTTTGAAATTGCATAAAAAAAGAATGAGGTGTTGATTGAGGTAGTTGTGGAATTGAAATATGAATTTTGAAAACCTACATTAAAACATACTTACAAAACAGAAAAAAAAGTAGAACTTTTACTTATGAATAAATACAGTTTAATAATAACATACAAGCAGTAAAATTATGAATACATTTTCCCAAGATACAATTTGAAATGTCATGGATATGTTCAAGTACCCAAATAATCAGTGATATCTCCTCAAAAACTTGAATTCAACTTCAAGGAATCTGGGTTTTGGTTTCAATTTGTGTAACTATTTGCACTCAATTGTAAGATACCCTGGATGGCAACTCCTCCCCTGCTGAAAAATTGAAGAAATGTTATACCTACTATAAACAAACCATATCTAATAGCTATTACAGTGTAATAATTACACCATCTAAACATTCAAATAGAAATAGATTGTGTCACTTCGAAGTATGTTCAAAGATTCAATTCATGCTATGAAGTAAGCTACCTACAATGACCTGCTTGTACCAGGGTTATTATAGATCTATAAAATATGCTACTGTTTTTGCTCATATGAATGTAATTGCGAGCTGTATTTTAACTTAACCATTTTGGAAGTACATGCAATCTGCATTGGCTATTTTACTACAAAGATGATATTACAAAATAGGAATCTATGGAGGCCTAGGCAGGATGTCATGAACAAGATTTTTATATGAGTCAAGCATTACAAATAAAACCATAAATTACCCACCTGCACATGTTCATAATGTCTTTTTTCTTGCCCAGCTTTGTGTATTGCAGTTCAAAAGTCAAAGGCATTGCATTGCAATTTGCTTCTTTATTTTTCTTATAAAAATATTTGAAAGAAAAACAACCATACTTATTTTTCCAAGTCCTCTGGAGACATTTCCCCATAAACAAAATAGGTATGAACTGTTGATCATGTTCTCTCTCAGATAGGCACTGCAAATAAGAGTTATTCATCAGTAATAAATATATCAATGAATCACAAATTTACCTTATTGTTATCATAATTGGACCAATGGATTGAATAAAGGTAGGAAGTTTTTGTTGGAGCTGCATACATCCAGTTTTCAAACTCATATTGGATTCTCAACGTTTATCCATTTTTTCCATTCAACTGAACTGATTCTTCATTACCAGGAAAGACTTCTTGAGTGCAGGAAATTCATATTAGAGGACATATTATAGGTCCTAATTTATCCATTGGAACCTTCTACTAGTTCAACCAGCAACCAAACACAGTTGATTTCGCGTATTATCAGTGATTTGTTGATACTAATTTATAAAATATTATAGAATTGATTAGGCAATTGATATAAAGTTCATGTCTTGTACTCAAGAGACGCAAGAAGAGAAAATTAACGTAATTTGTTGAGAGAATGGTATTCATAAATCATAAAATATGAAATATGAAACCCACCCACTGAACACAATAACAAACATGACCTTGAATTACGTCCTAAACTGGTTCAAATTTGCCCACCAGGTGCCGTATCGGAATCGTCACCTTGCCAATTTTGAATGAAAAAGCGCGGGACGACTATGGTGCTCTTGTCACAATGCAAGGTGTGTAACCTATTAAATCTAAGCATTGAAAACCCTAACCGTTGTTATTTCTGTGTCCGAACTCTTATCAAACTAATACCATCCAGTGACTCTATTATACAAGATACGATTTCACAAGTATTATGAACACTATGACTATAATGTCACAAAAAATGTTCTAAAACTTGCCCAAAGTGCATCAACGCTGAGGGTTGCCACTCGATTATTATTGTTCTTTGACTCATCAGGGAGCAATTCGAAGGTCCAAATAACGATAGGTCACAAACATAACCAATATTTTTCATTTACAAAAAGTTATATCCGTACGAAATCGGGTGATTACTTTTGCACAATCTTGTATGAAAAAACTGACAGCTGTTTTGGCACTTTCAAATGATTCATCTTACTCTTAATAATCATTTATTGAACATTTTTCAACACAAATTCGAATTTTTTAAGTCAAGTTGTGAAAAAAATGGTGCCTGCTTAAATTCAAGCTAACACAGCCGCATCATAACTTTTGAACCAAATAAGTTATGAAGATGTTTCAAACGTTAAAATTCCCAACTTCTCCATAACTACCAAATGGTATGGTATATGAAAACCAGCTAACACATTTTTATTGACAATCATAAGTATATTTCTTTTTGTGTCATTAGGCCTCTTCCTGAGATATCTTCTCTGTTAATATAACAATTTCACGTAAATTTATACTTTTAGATTGAAAACGCAAGTCTCAAGTCTATATTTTGAGTTTTCCTATTTTATTTATTTATTTATTTATTTATTGAAAATGTTACTTCCAGTCAGAATCAAGTTCTGGTATAAGGAAGTATAGTTAACAATACCTAAAACTATACAATTATAATAAACTGATGAATAATAAAATATTTGAAAACATTAATTATTAAATTTTGACAAATCATTTCATATTGCTGAGCAAAAATCAATTTGAATATGAATCAAAAGTAAGTCATCTATTTCGTTTACATATCACATAATTTCTTCAGAACAGGGTGGGATGGAGCAGGCCTTTAGGGCTTTCTGGTAAAATTTTGGTGCGATTTGGAAAACATAAAACATCAACAACATCAATGTATTTTTTTTTCAAAAACATCTGATGCTTGAAGAACGTGCAACTTCCTTCAAAATGTAATGGAATATTTTATACGGTATTGATGAATCTAGTTTTTTTCCTGAATATCCTTAAAGATATCATGGAGTCAGTTTTCTGAGGATGGCAACTTAGTGGCCAAAATACTCATTTAGGTTTTTGAAATATTGTGGTATTTTGGGTATTTTTCGTACCTCAAAAAAAGTACTTCGAATAATGACGTATCACATACGTCCTTGAATTCATTAAAACAATGCTGAATCCTACAGGTCAGATACAAAGTAACTGAACTGATCGATCAAAAAAGAAATTGTATTTTTGCAATGAAGACTTCAAAAATAAAATGTGGTCTAGCTATTAATATCTAAGTCGTTTTCGTAAGTTAAGGATATTGTCTTCTTGTTATGAAGTCTTTTTTTGGTAAAATTTGGTATATGTCTATCCATAATTTTTTTCGATTAGTTTAGATTTTGAGAAAAGGTTGATTATACTTTGAGCTACTTTGGTGGTTGAACCCAAATTAACATTAGATTTGTAAATCTGATAAAAACAATGATAAATCATAGCTTGCGGCGTTCTATATAAGATATATTTCTTTAGTTATGATCTAGTAATGGCCGAATCGATTGAACAAATATATTTTTAATACAAACAAACATACATACCTATAGAAGAGTGTGTGGTGGATGACAAATGAAAAATAAATATTTCCTTTGATTTTTTTCAGGTGACTGATTTTCATGGAAAACGAATAATATGTCAGGTTTCGCCAATCTTTGAACATGCTTCTTCAATGTCATTGACTAAATATAGATTGTCATTTGTAGTTGACATACCTCCCCTTGCTGTTGTCAGTTACAAAGTGAAAGCATTGTTTGAATCAGAGGTTCCAAGGTTCGTCTATTTATTTTTTCAACTGCTAATATTCCATGCCGTGACTCAACAAATTAAAAAGTTAGATTTTCCAAGAATGAATCATCATGTGAAATAAAGGATGGAATAACTTTTATAAGTATGATATTATACCTTTACCAACCAAACTCGGGACTAATATTCATAAACTCATTAGTTATTGTCGGATACCTTACAAAATAAAGTATACAAATTATATAAAGATGATCGTGGCGGCACCCCAAAGTTCGCAGAATTGTCATTTATCGTGTTTGTTGTTATTAATGGTGTTCCGGTTTTTGTGTCATTAGTTTTTAGTATTTCAGTAACTCATACAGTATTATGAATCTAAAGCAAAATACTTTGTAAATAAGCATGGTTCGGCAGTGTCAAATCTGCACAGAAAGGTTAGTTACCAAAACCCAAGCCTGTATTTTCTCTAGAAAAGCGGAACTCAGTATGCCTGACATAAAAATGTCTAGTACCACCATACCCACCAAATACACTATATCTATGCTCGGTATTTCCATCAGCAATACCCTTTCATGGAATAATCAAGTAATATCCATCGCCAAAGCTGCTTCACAAAAACTTGGATTTTTGTTTCGTGTGAAAATCAACTTTACACCTCAACAGCTTTATATGATCTACAATGCACAGTAACGGCCTGTTCTAGAATACTAAAATTGTTCTAAAATTGTTCTATCCGTCATTCGGTTGCCCCCTTACGAGCAACCCTCAGAAGTCTTCGAGAGTCTTGTACGAGCAAGGAATGACGGGGGCCTTACCTTTTAACGTGTGATCCCAAACACTTTCTTGGGCCATCAGAAAAATTTCTGCAGTCGATGGGAATCGAACCCACGACCGGCAAGCGAATGCGGATTAGAATATAGACACTCTGTCCGCACGGCTACCTGGCCCCTGTTCCCACATATGTGGTTCAGCACCCAAACATACGCTGATGATCTTAGATTCCATCCAGAGAAGAGCAATTCACCTGGTGGGCTCTTTGACATCATTGCAACACCGTGGAAAGGTCGGCGACCTTTCACTTTTCTATAGTTACTTCCACGGGAAATGTCCTTCGGAATTCTCTGCTATCATTTCATAACTAGCAATACCAATCAGACGAACTCGACAAGCCCAGTCAGCACATCCTTTCTTTGTAAACCTCGAAATATTCCGAATAAGGAAGTATTTCCCAGAATGTGTAATCCCCAAAAGTTCAAAAAACTTCCAATACCTACCTCCTCTCCCTATCTATCTCAGGTATGCACGATGTTCTTCGAACATTGTAGGGATTACCTGTCGTGCGCTTCAAGCGATAAGAGAAAAATGATTCAACGCATATGCATATTCAATGCATACGTGACCACGTCTCCCGTGCAAAGGTAAAACGTAGCAAGTCACTTTTTGCTGATCGAAAAGTAGGACTAAGTTTTTCCTATGTAACCTAATTTCAAATTTTATATAGCCTTTGGAATTTTCTAGGAAGTCCATAAATCCATCGATATTCAATGGAAGAGTATAGTAAATCTGTTTTAAAACGGAAGAATATAGCAATTCATCTTTGCTTCTGTGAAAGTGAAATATACATGGCAATTATACAAGGGAAAAACATAACAAGGTAACATCGGTTTACCCATTGCCTTGAAGTAATGTAACTTGACGAGTCCCATCAGCAATTTAGTTTATTAGGTTCTTCTTTTTGGCAGAATTTAGCGACCTCAGACATATATGATGATCTCCTTTCGACAGACCCTGTGATGTTTTCGATGTTTCCGATATGAAATATATGTTTTATTGGTGACAGTTTCAATTTTTAATTTGATATGTTTCATTCGCGAGGTTTCTTCAGTTGTACGTGCTACTTTCTCTGAGGAATTTTACAAAAAAAAACTAGTTAATGAGTTAACTGGTATCTACGGAAAAAATCCAAATGGCAATGGTTTGAATCAATTTTTAAGATTCTGAAAATCATGGCAAAATGACTCCCTTTGTTTTATTACTAATTCACGGGAGACGTGCTGTCACAAAGTTAACCTGATCGGATTCTACGTGGAAATTTTGGCCAGTAACGTTTCTGGTTTGTTGATGAAATGCCTGTTTAGAATATTAAAGATATCAAATAACCTCACTAAGATGATTATTACGTAAAATTATGTTACAATACGTGAGAACTAATTTATTAATACACCTACATTTATAGAAGTCCCGATTTATTAGATCAATTCTTTGGTAACGATTCCGCAGAGTGATTCCCACCATTCGCCATTTCATTCATTCATCCGTTTTGGTGCTTATACTTTTTCATGATTAATGAATTGATTGCGAAATCGAAGGCTCATTTGTTGATTTCCGGATAATATGTTATTTATGAAATATTTATAGGAAGCACTATAACAATAAATGTGTGCGTGTTAACAATAGCCAAACACTTCCATAACCGAAAATCGGGCAATAGCACATTCATATGTCTCACAGTTGACGAGAATATAGAAGTATCCTCTACTGTGCTATGATGGAAGCCTACTTAATGAATGTTCAAAGAAAACTAAACATATACTCGCATCATTTAAAATCTTGACGTACATACATTAGGATAATTCGAATTTGCGGACCCTAAGTGTTTTTGTAATCGTTTGATTTTTGCCTTTCACTTTATTATGGAGATCTAACTATACACTCTCGATCGCTTTAATGTTGTTGATTTACATTTAGACACCCTGTATTATCTTACAAGTAAGTTATGAAACCAGTGTTTCAGGGAAACTGTGTACTCCAATGTAAAAATCTTCAACCATTATGGAGTGATTCAGTCTCCGAATGGTTTTCAGCCAGAGGTATCGGCCAGTTCGAGTGAATTCACATTACACAATGAGATATTAACTGCTTCATTCAGTTCCATTGGTTTGTTGAAATCATTGAGAGTTGGCACTACGACAGTTCCCGTTCATTTGGATTTTGCAAGGTAATTATATATTCTTATTCCTATTTCAATACACAGCCAAAATTGTATCATTATCATTTTTGAAGTAACTTTTCCATATAGCTGCTGTTTGCTTCTTTATTGTGATTTTTGCAATTTGTCATGGTCACGTGACCTGTGGATGCCTAATGAATCACTCAGAATGTGTTTTTCACTAAACGACTAAATTTGAGTTCACATCGCCAAAGTGGCAACTATGTGATGGCTCATTGTTTTGAAATCGTTCATTCACTTATTTCAGTTGGTTGCTTTGAGTGTATTCATATTTGGATTTTTTGGTAACGTTTCAAGCACAGATTTTCATATGATATTGGTCCAATAAAGTATATTTCAATACTTTGAATACCTACGTAAAATTTATAAAATAAACAATGCCTAAATTTGAGGTTACCTGAGTTATTATTCACTAGTAAATGGATAAATATTGAAAACTTAAGGAGCTAAATATATGACTTGTCCTTCTAGATGTATTTATAATGAGATAAAATTCCTCTATATTGGAAAAGTGTGAATAGATCAGTTCATCTATTCCAGAAACTTTATGTGCTTTGATTGTGAGTGGAGATTGCTCTTTTTAGACTTCTTCTGGAAGTATTAACCAATAATCATTTTCTTTTCTTTCTTCTCCTCTATTTTTAAAAAGAAATGTTGAGGTTATTGGAATGTCAATGCCTCATGCAAGCTTCTTCCAGAATATTTTGATTATGAATATTCATAGAAGAACATACAAACCAAGGTCATTATGAATGTTTATATTTCTCTATTGATATCATATCATTGATTTCATAATAGGAACATGCATCATTTTTAAATGTATCGAAATTATATTCTAACTGGTATGATTATCTTAAGTCATCAAACATTCTTCAATGCGTTCCTCAATTTAAAATTTGAATGACGGCAAATTTGAATTCCTGAGAAAACAGATTGAATGACGTCGGTCAGATTTTTTGGGATTCTCTCCTCATTTAGAAACTTCACTATTATACAATCTGAAATAAAAATTCAATTGATAATCAGTGACAACTTGTTTTGAAAAATATGTGAAGAAGTATTTCAAAAAATTATCAAATTTTCAATTAGCTTATTTGTACGTTTCGAACACGAATCTGTTCCCGTTGAAATTGTGTTCAAGAACGAACATAATATATTAAAATCAATTTTCGCTCAAGTGATACATATATTATGAAACAATGAAAAAAGGTGAATCTTCTTTCAGTAAGGACAAAGAACAATATAATAAAAAAACATATCGACAAATGACAATTTGCCGAACATATCTTTACTGATATTGAACAACATAAATAACGTCAAATAATATTAAAATCATAAGAAGGAAAAATCTTCAAGTTTTTTTCGAAACTTGGTGTCATTTACCATGATTGAATTTCTGTCTTTGGTTTGAATCTGATTCGGCCTTACTACACATACATCCATCGAATAATACTAATATTTTTGTTTATAGAAATGAGGAGAGAAAGATCCCAAAAAATATAGAAAAATGAATATCTCGATTAACCTATAGACAGTATTCTGTTTTCAATTATGAGTTATAAATAAAATCACATTCAAGTGTTGAATTCATACACTAGTGTACCCTATTGTTTTATATAATATGTAGATATGGAGTGAGGATGAAAGCAAATTCTGAAAGAAGTGGTGCCTATTTGTTCTTACCAGACGGAGAAGCTGTGCCGATTCAAACTGAAAATGTGATAGTAAACTTAATTGAAGGTCCAGTGTTATCATCAGTTTTTGTGCAGCTACCGTACGTTCAGCATTCTGTATCAATTTATAATTCAACAGGTATATATTTTTGATCATACTATCTAAAAAAACCAAGAGAGCTTCAATTCAACAGATAAATATTGAAAACTCTGGAAAACCATAATTTTATTTCCAGTTCTAAGGTAATAGTTGACTTGCTATTGATAAAGCATTTTTATTACAGGTGCGGACAGTCTTGGAATAGAAATTGAGAATACTGTTGATATTGAGAAAACCAATAATTTTGAATTAGTTATGAGGTTATCAACGAATATTAACAGTTTTGATGAATTTTTCACAGATGTCAATGGTTATCAAGTGAGTATTTTTGGAGTTATAATTGAAATTTCCTTGTGATGCTTTTCCATGAAGATTTTGTGAATACTTCGACTTTAAACTATTAGGGATATAGAATTACACAGTATTGACATTCAAGTGGACAAACATATACAAGCTCTCAGAAGATGTCCAAAACTCGATGAAAAAAGTTGCAAATATAACCGCATACTCAGTCGCATCAACTATTCGATAAATCTTTGGGGATCCTGTTGAATTAATAATCCAAATAAAATATCTGCCTCATATGTATACATAAAAACTCATACAAATCAACTTCATTCATTAGATAAAAATTTAAATGTTTGAAATCGAAACCATAAAAATGTCATTCAATATCATGAATAAAAGAAATTAAATTCGATTTCAACAAGAAACTATAGAATTAATTCATTATCACCAAAGTAGACAACATACCTTATTATCTTATAATAATATAATAAGACAAAAAAGATTCATCCACGCTGCTCTAATCGAATTTGACAAATTACTTGGTAATATAATATACAGAGTGTTTCAAAAAAACCTAGCCCCCTTGCTAGGGTAGGTAGAACATTGCAAAATAAGTTGGGTTTGCTCAGTGAAAAAATGTCGTAACGGCATCCGTTTTCATGATACAAGGTGTTGAAAAAATTGTTTTTTTACACATTTTTCACGATTATTCCGAAACAACTGGCACCATTGTAATGAAATCTGACACATCGCATGAATTTGTTTTTATATCTGACTCTCATAGAGGGCGCTAGTTACACGGTTCGTACCGAGTAGTTTTGAACATAACTTTTTTGAGGTTAGATTTTCCACTCCAAATATGATATGAACTTAAACATCATTCTATTTTACACCAAAAAGTTATACTGGTGAAACTGTTCCGTTTTCGGAATATTTCGATTTGAAAATAATGGAGTAGTAATGATGCTGGTATAAGTGGAATAAAATGAATTTTATTAAGTATGAAATTATTCTTGTGCTGAAGTTATTGATGGAACAAAGAATCATAAGTAGAAAATCAAGAGATATTTGACTAGAAACATGAAATATTGAATCAGTTAGAGTAAGTGTTCAAAATGTCCTACGTTTCGAGGAATACACGATTCTATATTCTTCTTGAAATAATGAATTATTCTTCTGAACAGTTGGGGATCAGCTGTTAGGTAATTCAAATTATGTTCAATTATGTCTCACAACTCTTGACGTGAATTCACCTATGTAGCATAGACTTTCTGCTCAAGATACAACAAAACTGTGTAATCCATGTTCTTAGTCAAATCTGTTTCGATGTTATTCTTGTGATTCGTTGTTAAATCAATGAATTCTGCATCAGAAATGTATTGTTGTTTTCGGTTTTCAATAAATAGGTGATAATTTTTCATAATACTCACTCTAATACATAGCTTTATACCAGCAACAGTTACCACTTTATCATTTTAAAATCGAAATATTCCGAAAACGGAACACAGTATCGAGTTTTACCAAGAGTACCTTTTTGGTGTGAAATTGAATGATGTTCAAGTCCACATCAAATTTGGATTGAAAAATCTAACCTCAAAAAAGTTATGTTCAAAACTACTCGGTACGAACCGTGTAACTAGCGCCCTCTATGAGAGTCAGATATAAAAACAAATGCATCCGATGTGTCAGATTCCAAGAAACATCCATACAAAATTTCATCACAATGTTGCCAGTAGTTTCAACATAATCGTAAAAAATGTGTAAAAAAAATATTGTTTCAACACCTTGTATTCAAAACGGATGGCGTTACGACATTTTTTTTCTGAGCAAACCCAATTTATTTTTAGATGCTCTACCTACCCTAGCAAGGGGATTAGGTTTGCAGAAATATAATCTAATGCCAATATGAACTCCGGAAACCCTCCATTTCTGAAGGAAATGGATGATTTGAATGACATGTTTTGACGTATTACAATGACCATTTCCAGTCATTTCTAGAAAACATATACATATCACCAAATATATGGCTGTGGAATACCTTAAATTAATTGTATGAGATATTTTTCTATCAATTTATCATAGAAGAAATTATTGAAGAAGACAAAATGAACGGGCGAATTCAAACGATCAGACATGGCCGCGACAAGTGTGACGTCAGTGCGCTAGCAATTGTTTCTCGTGAGTGCGAATAAAATACACAGCAAATAATACAGATGGTGTTATTAGATAACTGAATAATATCTACCTACCTGAAAATTCGTGGAAATACGCATTAAATAATTTGTTGAATGATTGATATCTGTTGGTGGATTATTCAAAATTGTAAGTGAGATTTCATTTTGTATTGAATAACAGTGCAGATATTCATGGCAGTTTCAAATCCCTTCCAGTTTCCAGTAAAGTAGTTTCAAGTTCAGGTACTCAACTACCTATAGCCTACCTACCAAATTCTGAATCAATCAATACTTGATTGCTTACTTGGTTTTATGTTCTATTGATTTCAGTACAAGCATCACTGCCTTCTTGTCAATAATGTTGAGGAATGAGAACAGTGAAGTAAAGCGAAGAATGATGTATTTTAACTTGGCAACATTGTGTTAGCGCCAGTTGCTCCATCTCTTTCTCTTGTAAACATACTTGCCACATTAGAAATCACATTGTCCGGGAATAAGTACTTGAGATATAGAAACACTCTTTAATTTGATGCTTATAACAATTATAATCAACAAAATTATATTTTGGACTTCAGAGTAAATTGAAAGTGATCAGTAGTGAATTACAATCAACTACTCACCTACTACATAGTGTTAGCTTGGTGGACGGTTATTAGAATAAAACATTCTGGGTACTCCACGATTTCCACCATATTCACAATAGGTATCAGATACAACCTAGCCGTATCACGGCTACTTCTAAACTACTTAATATTACTCATACATCGATAAATTCTACCCAAAATACCCGTCACCTTTTACATAACTCCGTGTGTCATCAATAGATCGACACTCATTAATCTAGAAGCACTATACAGGGCGTGTATGTACATAGCTCCTGGATACGATACTCTCTTACAATAGTAATTTCGAATCATGGTATTCCTTGCACCATATTGCACATAAGATCATTTCAAGGATTTCATATAGAAACCTGGAAACAGCGGCGTGTTTCCCAGACATCACAAACTACAACCAATCAAACTGCAAGGAGACACTGACATCACAGCTTACTAGCGTTTGAAAATTGAATTCGCAGGTATTGAAATAACATTTTCAATATCAAATAATTTATTTGTTGCTCGATTTTCTCGATAAGTATGTGGTCAGAACATAACAACATTGTAAAAAAATAAGGGTCAACATTCACGATACTTTAAAGACCCATTTCTAGTTCACTCGTGCCCCATGCACTGTTAACGATTGATCGTAATTTTTACATGAGCCGTTCATCTAGAATTAATACAGTCTCTGAGCTCTGAGGCTTCTGTGCAAGCTCTGAGCTTTTTCGTCTATTGAAAGTGCTGAAACTTGCAGATTATGAGGCGGAAATGTTTCAAAAAACTTCCCCTGCAAGCCAACTACTATCCCATGCCCGCGACGGCTTACATCGAAGACAAAAACATGCGCCTGACTGTCACTTCGAGCAGCCCTTTAGGTTGCAGTTCCTTGTCGGCCGGGCAAATAGAGGTTATGTTGGATCGGCGACTCAGTCAAGATGACAACTTGGGTCTCGGCCAAGGGGTATTCGACAATCATCCTACCAGACACAACTTTAGGATACTGCTGGAGAAAAAAAATCCAAGCTGTCAGGTGAGTTGTATTCGTATTAAGAGATCAATACTCATAGTTTTTTTCAACGAGTTTTTTCGTCGGAGTATTCGGATATTTGTTCAGTTCATGGATGGTAATTTTCCCAACAAGTGCCGCAAGTGATAATTTCCCGCACGCAATTGCCGTTGACTACGCGAAGCGGGAAAGCAGTCGAGTGCAGGAAAGACCCTTCCCGCCTGTGTTAGGAACAATATTTTTTATACAAGCGGAGGAAATTGATTGATTTGTTCAATTAATCATTCGTGCAAATAGAAACAACTAACAATAGTAATATATTCTCTCTTCTGATTATTATTAATATATCTATTGTTTGAAGCATTATTTAGGTAGGTTCATTGCGAAAGTCAGCATGCCCATGGGGTTTGGCCTCTAGGTTTGAGACATTTCTTGGAAATGGTCCGAAAAATAATTATTCTTTATTAGGTGTTTCAACTTTTTCACTGTTCAATATATCGCGTATATTGTTATTTACCACGTCGAACATTGAATTATATCTGTTGAAAGTCCAAATAGCCAGGAAAGTATTTGTTTCCTGTTGAATATACCGAGAAAGAATTTATATTTTCATCACATAGGGAATGTGAAATCTCAATGTGTTTCTTTATACAATACAGGGTGTCCCGAAATTAAATAGAAAGTTTTCAACCAAAGATTCTAGGAACAAAATTAGTGAACAAATTTCATATAAAATGAATCTGGAAATGGCCCCTAGGGGGTTATTGTGAAAATGTACTGTATATGAAATGAATGAAGAATCAACATTTGGCCTTGGATATAAAGCGAAAGCACTAAACGGACTTAGCACTGATGCATGGCCGCCATCATCGATAGTTCTTCACAGCCGGTGAAAGAGACCTTTCTCTGATGGCATGCTTCTCAGTGCTTTCTCAATCCTTCAAAACTCTAGTTATTCCAGAAGTGTCACTTTCCGGGATAAACAAGCGGGTAATTGACACAATCTGAATTTTAGTTAGCGCCGGTAACTTTTGACGATTGCGACAGTACCTCGCAGGAGTATCTTTTCGTTCTCTTTTTCGGCAGGTGGTTCGTGTCGGGTCATCTACCGATTTGCCAATTGTGCCGTTTAGTGTCATTGAATGCGGATTATACTTTCAAAAAATGTATGAACTAATTATCAATATTAACTTATCAGTACCACTTGAGTTTGTTACCGTAACAAAATGTATCTAACAAATATATCAATGGACCTGTTTCAGTGAAAAATGTTATTTCATTATTTCCAAGTACTAACCCTAACTAGTTCACTGTCGCAAACCGTTTTTTCCTCAGAGCTCTGTAACTTTTTGAAATGATTATTGAAATTAACGATATTTCATAACATGAGAAACGCGGGAATACGCGTGACGTAATCATCTGAGAACATTATATAAGATTCGACTTACGTATCAATTCTCTATTGCTGATAGACAAGTGCAAGAATATTCCTGATTGTCATTTCAATCAGAATATGGAATGCATTTTCTGGATTGAATACTCACTGCCGATAACAGAGAATACAACACACAACTGAAGAATCAGATGATATGAGGATTATCTTTGAATATTGTCTTCTTCACTAGATGAAACAAGAATTTGACAATGAAAGTGACAACCGATATTGGCGTCAGGAAGTTAGGTTGACAATGTAGATTGTCTCCTTCTCCTTTTTTTGTATTTCTGTAAACTAAGGCATTACACATCTTGCAAGTATGTTCCATAAGTGATTATTAAGGACTAGGTCGAACCATTGTCTTCTGTTAATGTGAACACTATTGTCATTGGTCATATTGAATCTCATAAGTTAATTACTAGTTACAAATCCGGCATCGTCGAAATATATGGTCCTATGTTTTATGCGGAAGCCAGAATTCGGTTTATGACGTCATCGAACCTGGAGCTTTTCGTAGTCGTCGAATCTAATTACTGAATAAAAAAAATGCGATGATTTTAAATAACAAATCATTGCATCGAATACTGTTCATACACGGAATGATCAATATAAAATTGGTAGGTGGCGTAAATTCAACTAGTGTGTACAACCCCATTCTGTGACAATGATTCCGCACAGTTAACCACACCATTCGCCATTTCCATTCATTTATCCGTTTAGGATTGTTGACATCTTTCTCAAGAGATATGAATGATGCGCGATACTTGTTGGTTATCTATTGTTATTCAATCTGAGATATCTCATAATATGAATCAATCTACTTTCAACTGTGACCCACTATTTAGGCAGCTACAGAAAACCATCCAGCAGGTTTTCCAACCGTATCTGCTCACGTGGCCTCGCAAAGCTTGCTTAACCCACTCATAAGGATGATCAAATGCGATGATGATGATGACGATAATACCATGGAAGGCGTTTATACGTCTACAAAAGAAGAAGTGGGTGTAGATATACTGATGCCGTCTCTCAGAAGTAATATTCACGTTAAAGGCAGCAGCCATCTTGGAGCGGTTATCTATCGGCAATTTCTGGACGTCTGTTTTGCTGACGAGAGTGTACTTCAACGGTTTCCTTTAAGCGATGGAACGGTGAGTGTTGATAAAGAAGTTGATATGATTTTGTTGTCTGAATGAATTCATCTTCATACATTCAATTAATTGAAAGGAAAACTAAAATTATTTGCAGATGATACAACTATAATCTATAACTCAAAAGATCTCAACGATATCAATAATGATATTAAACATGATTTGAAACAAATATCATCTTGGCTAACGACCAATGAGTTGACTCTTAATTATAATAAATTTACGTATATGTACAGTCGTCTTCAATAACAAAGCGTACACGTATTAAAAAGAGAGGATTTCGGGGTCCTAGTTCTAGTTGTGTAAAACTGGCTCAGCCAATGCTTTGTGTTTTTGAGAACCTATGACAACTTTACTTTCAACATTTGGTAAGCAATCATTCCCGATAGCCCGTTTTATGCAGGATAGGATGACGTTAATTTCTCTGTAATATACTTGTACGCTTTTTTTCAATGTGACTGTACATCTTAAAAAAACAACTGACATATTGAATGATACCCCAATATGCTTCAATAACAAATCCATTTGATATCAGAATGTAACAAAGTTAGGTCTTTATATTGATGAACAATTATCGTGGATTCAACACATAGATCATTTGAGGAAAAAAACGGAATCCTAGTGCAAGTATTTTATATAAAATTCGTAATTGCAATGAGTATTTATTCCTGTCATGTTTATTCCAATTCACAATATCTAATATCAATTTGAGGAAGTACAACTATTTCATGTTTTAATGAGGAAATAAAACAATAAAACGCATTTTCAATTTACCTTTTTCAGAATCAACTGTAAATCTATAGAAACCCAAAGACATGCTGAATCTATTTTCATTATATAAACCAACACAGTTTTTTGTTTTATTCATTTTGTCAGGAAGGAATTGAAAATATCAAATTTGAATTTTAATGAAGTTAATACGATTCACGTCCATGAAACAAAGCAATTCAATTTATTGATAGCAAATAATTATAAGTCAAATTTTGGTTAACAATCAATATTCCATAGTTGAATAACTTCATATAACTCCTTACCTAATGAGTTAAAAAATATAAAAGAAATAGATAGATTTGAAATCCATTCAAAGAAATATCTGCTCAGTAAACTTATTCCATATCTCCTAATCATTCACGAATTGATTACTTGAAATGGATTATAATATTTCCATATTATATTCTAATGTCTTTATAGAAAAAAATAATTTTGCAATCATTATTGTTCTGATTTATTATGTTATATATGTTTTGTTGTATATATCCGTATTAGAAACAATAATGTTTCTTGGGGTAATAAAGCCAATCAATAAAATATTTGCTCTGCAACCGTGCGAGAAATAAAATTTCGTGGCCATTACCCAAAGCAATAGCTGCCAAACCAAACGTCACTTACAACGAGGTTATTATTAGTGTCACCCCTGAATCATAGATTCAGTAATGCAATGTAACATATTTGGTTAAGACTGCCAGGTTTCTTGGTTGTTCTTAGAAATAGAGCTTTGGGGTCTGCCCGTTCCTGTCTTACTTTTTTGTGGAACTCAAGATGTTTCCGTTTATGAGATACTGGGCGATTTTTGAAATGTATACTTTTTGAACCCCTCCTATATCTACGATGTTATTAGAACTAATGTTGAGCAAAGTACTACGTCTAACAGAGAATTTGACGCAGAATCCAGGGGCGTACTCAATTTTTTTTTCGGGTAACGGTTTCGGAGATACGAGACTATCATGTATTTTTTAATGAAACACCCTGTTCTTTATTAAATCGTTGAATTCGTTATTTTTGTCCCTTCAAAATGATATACATTTCATATACAGGGTAATGCAAATTTCATGGTACACTATTGTTAACTCGGAAACGGAGAGAGATGCGAACTACGTTAAATTACGAAAAAAATGCACAATTTCATGACCATTTCAAATATCAAAAGAAATCGAGTACATCCCTCTTATTTCCTGAAATATCCTGAAAAAACTGAAAATAGTCGATTTTTATTATAATCAATAACTTTTGAACTGTTTTTACTAGAGTTTTGAAATTTGGTACACTTAATGAAGGTCGCATGGCGAATTCAACGGTGATATGAAAAAAATTCTAGGCACACTAGATTCGAAGATATTGAAGCAAATTTTGATTTTTCTAATGGTCGCCATATTGGATTTTTGCACCATCCGATAGATCAAAAAATTACCAATTCATCGATGTATCACACTTCCATGTTTGATGATGGAATGACGAAAATACAGGAAAAATAGAAAATTAATAATTAAGTTAACGTATAAGATCTGCTATCAAGCTTACAATTTCAGAAATTTTCATTAAACGTAAAAATAATAATATTGAACTCAATTTCTGAGGTGCTCGAAGTGACCCCCTCCATTTTCAAGACAAAGTGCAGCTCGACTGCAAATTATTGGAGATGCCGTATCACCTATTAACCGATAATATTTTGATGGCATGATTCTTTCTTGAGCTTCGTATCACAATCTGCTCCTGAATTTTCTACACATACTTAAGAAACATCCTGTACATCGCTGTTTACGGGATTCGACACGTGCCAGCCAGTTCATCAATGTCAAGGAGGCGGCTGTCACAATGTCCAGTTTTCAGTTCTGGATATTAGAACATTAAAAATTCATCTGTCATTCTGAGAATTTGAAAATTATAATTGTTCACATCTCTACTGAAACCAAATTGAGATGGTGAATGTTTACAGCATTGAAGAAAGGAGTGATATGTATGATGTTTACATTCGCTGCTTTCGAAATTCTACGCGAGCTAGTGAAATGTATGAAAATTTATACCCTGAACGGATTCAGCCTTCGCTAAATTATTTCCAAAGGATTGCACAGAAGATCAGACTAGATGGAACTTTTGCAACAAGGCGTTCAAGGTGAGATATGTATTAACATTTTTGTATTCTTCCATAAATAACTTTCTGATTCACCTAGGTATGGAATGAGAAGAGGGTTGAATCTTAACGTTATAAATATCCTAGCACAAGTGCACATTAATCCAAACATATCAACTTATGCTATTGCAAGGCAGTGTAATGTCCATCAATCTACAGCTAGTAGAATACTCAAAAAGCAAAAATTCCACCCTTATCATTATCATGTAGTACAAGGAATCAGTCGAGAAGATTTTGCCAGGCGATCCTTTTTTTGTGAATGGTTACAGAATAGGGTGAACAATGATGTAAATTTTCCATTGAAAGTGCTGTGGTCAGATGAGTGCCTTTTTACAAATAATGGCCTTTTCAATCGTCACAATGAGCATTATTGGTCCACAGAGAATCCAAAGCTCAAGAAAGAATCACGTCATCAAATAAGATTCTCGGTTAATGTCTGGTGTGGCATCTTCAATGGTCGAATTCTGGGTCCATTTTTTCTTGAAGATCGCCTGAACGGAGAAAACTATAGGAACCTGTTGAGAGATAGTGTTGAACCCTCATTGGATGGATTTCCCATTAATCAGATCCACCAAATGTGGTTTCAGCAAGACGGTGCTCCTGCTCACAATGCAGCATTGGTTACCCAGACATTGCATCAAATGTTTCCACGGAAGTGGATTGGCACTAACGGTCCAGTACGCTGGCCCGCTAGATCTCCGGATCTAAATCAGTTAGACTATTACCTATGGGGATATTTGAAAAATACAGTTTATGCCAGAACAATAGGAGACGCTGCAGATTTGCGAGAACAAATTGTACAAACAATTAATTCAATACCGGAAGCAACCATACGGAGAGCAGCAAATGACATTTGCAGTCGAGCTGCACTTTGTCTTGAAAATGGAGGGGGTCACTTCGATCACCTCAGAAATTGAGTTCAATATTATTATTTTTACGTTTAATGAAAATTTCTGAAATTGTAAGCTTGATAGCAGATCTTATACGTTAACTTAATTATTAATTTTCTATTTTTCCTGTATTTTCGTCATTCCATCATCGAACATGGAAGTGTGATACATCGATGAATTGGTAATTTTTTGATCTATCGGATGGTGCAAAAATCCAATATGGCGACCATTAGAAAAATCAAAATTTGCTTCAATATCTTCGAATCTAGTGTGCCTAGAATTTTTTTCATATCACCGTTGAATTCGCCATGCGACCTTCAGTAAGTGTACCAAATTTCAAAACTCTAGTAAAAACAGTTCAAAAGTTATTGATTATAATAAAAATCGACTATTTTCAGTTTTTTCAGGATATTTCAGGAAATAAGAGGGATGTCCTCGATTTCTTTTGATATTTGAAATGGTCATGAAATTGTGCATTTTTTTCGTAATTTAACGTAGTTCGCATCTCTCTCCGTTTCCGAGTTAACAATAGTGTACCATGAAATTTGCATTACCCTGTATATATATAGAATGTCCAGAAATGCTAAAGAACACTAAAACATTTCCAAGTTTGCCATGGATTTTCCAAAGTTTGCTTGAAGAGTAGTTATTATGTGTGGTTTATTCAAGTCGTACTTCATATAAAAAATATGTTTATCTGATGGCATGTCATAATGACAACGTTATGTCACTCAATTTTGATGACATAAGGAAGCTCATTATGGGACTAAGTACCATAATGAATTCATTATGGGACTAAGTACCATAATGAATTCATCATGGTACTAAGTACCATAATGAAATTCTATAAGGAAAACATGTAATGGTCTGATCAAAAAAGTTTATTCAAAATGCATAACTATGTACAAAACTATTTATTATAAATGGTAAAAGAACAATTACTACAATTTGTAATATTAATATAATGGCAAAGCACAGCTCACTCACCTACTAATATTTGAAACTACACAATACTTACTCCTTTAAAAATAGTTGTCATTGTGACATGTCGAAAATGCAGTTTTTAATTTTTCGAAAATGTATTGATATAAATGCCATCAGATAAAATTTTGTATGTAATACGAATCATAAACAATCATTATGGCACACGCCGTGTTATCGGACTCGGCTACGCCTCGCCCGATAACATTCACGACTTGTACCATAATGATCGTCTTTATGATCCTTATTACATAAATAACTATTATCGCGCTTCGTTACGGAGTTTTTGACCTCGAAAATTAGAATTAAAAAATGAAATTGATGTATTTTTCAAACGGTTTCAATGGTATGAATGATATTCGGCCAGGTTAATAAACTCATACTAATACACCTTTCCATACGTTAACGGATGTTGAGTGAATATGATTTATACAGGATGGGACGAATTTTTTCCGTTTAATGAAGGCATTTTTGACACAGGTGACAAATTTCTCATTTTGTTTCCACCGTTTGATTCCTTACTCTTTTATCTACAAAAATGGTATACTTTATTTCAATCGATATCTTGTACCGTTCTAGAAAAAGTCGCATTTTAAAACAAATATCAGAATCTATATTTTCATTGAAAATTGTGTTTGTTTCAGTTGAATATCAGCAGTTTGCTGCCATTAGATGCAAAGAAGAAAGTCTATGAAACTGCGTTGTCATTCACTTCAGTTAGGAAGGAGATAAATTGGAGAGAAAATTTGCAATTATGTCCTATGGACATGCGAGCATATATATTTTCAGAAAATACATGATTGAATACTGTGACAGCTGTCAGGTTAGGTTAACCATCATAATTCATATAAAGGGGCCTTAATGTTAATTTGAAGTATTTATCATTCAATGTTACTGATAATAACTTAATAAAAACTGGTTTGTAACCAATGTTGGGATGCCATAAGAGTGGTGGGACTCAATAAGTCAAATGTCAATGTTGATATGGATAAACCATTAATCAGAATTGTATGTTATGAAACATTCCTTTACCCCAAAAGTCCTCTAGCAAATTGATTACGTAACAATTACGTTAAATTGACATTAAGGCAGCCCTGATAATATGTGAGAGAAAACTACCAAAGGGTCTATGGACATTCAATAGGCCATTACTGCCGGCATAATGAGAAGTAACTCGCATTAAATTTGATGTCTTATCACTTAGTGCTATAGAATCAAAATACTCGTAAAATCCAGGTGATTACATTTGCAATACCGAGTGTCTCGACAAGTTTGGGCGCATATGTGGGGGTTTATAAAGAGCTTGTAATTCTTCCTCTGCATCGAACACACCTGAAGAAAATGTAGTAGATTTCTTTAGAAATGAATGATGAAATTTGGAGCAAGTCATCTTCAACAGACTTCATCAATTTTCTTTCCTGTACAGTCACTAAGATGATCCTCTAGTAGATGTCCACCTAACTGTTCGGCTGTCTGAAAATGAATCAGTTGCAGTTTATTTCTTGAGGTTTCCTCTTGATTGCTAATGGAACTGTTTTATTTAACAAACATCATAATTTTCCAACGTGTTCTGCAGATTCATCGTTGTCTTCGCAAGTACTTATCGATAATAATAGGGATTCACTTACGCGTTTTTCTTTGAACCTTTTACGTTCGATAGCCTTATAAATTTTTATAACAGTCTGACTGCCATGCTGCATTTTGGTATAATTTATCCAAATTCAGTTGGAGCGGCTTCTACTCGCTGATGCTCCGTTTGAACTTCTAAGTTGTCAGTTTGATGTGCACGCTGTACAGAATGGCGATCGATAAAGTCCAAGTCGGTTTTATTCTCAAAATAAAGCAATTTCTAATTTTCGGGGCGGAAAACTATGACGTACATTCTGAATCTAGTCTAAATATAGTTGATGTATAATATAGCTAGCGAATAGCTAACGTATACCTAAATAGAAAAAGAAACTTTGGCGTTTTGTTGATTACCTATATTATGAAAAACAACGATGATCAACTTCCTAACAAAACAACTATGAACTGTAGACATAGGCTAACGATTAACTGGAGATCAAAAATCGCCACAAGTTAAACTGGTAAACAAAAACATACATAACCCCAAAATCAAATCAGCTCTCGGTGTGCCTGTCACTATTCTGTGTGGTGTAGACGGGCTTATATGCGCTGTTGCAAGATATAATCTGCACCATTCCTAGAAAATAGGCCCGTTTTACAAAGGAACGGATTCATTAAAAACAATTACACAAGTTACCATTATCATTTTGTAAGATAACGAAAGTAGAAAAATATAGATACAAAATATCATAATTCATCTCAATTAGTAATCAACTTCATCCATCAAATAAGAGATTTATGAAAATAATTCATAATACTCGACGAAGTAGGATTGAAAAACCTATTATATCCCATTGCTGTTATTATATAGTTGGGTATTCAAAGAACAATTTCCGGAATTCTATACATATGGATGATAATGGCAACGTCGTACTGACACAGGGAATCGTATTTTAAGTCTTTGTGACTGTGGCTTTTCATAAAGTACGTCATAGGATTGGTCAGGAAGCCAAGTTCCTTTTTCATTTATTTTTCTGAAGTAAAAGTTGATCTTACAAATAAAAGAAAAAATGCGTAGTATGTTAAATTTCTACAAACTTCACAGTGAGATAAATTTCTCGACATTGGAAACTTTCCCATTGACTTGCTAGTGGTAGAATTCATTTATTCATAATCGTTCTACTCAGCAATATATAGGTAACAATGTAAATTTCCTTCTTTAATTATTCTTGACCCAAGATGCACAATGAAAAGTTGATAACTTCATTTCCTCTTTGATGATGAAAAACACGTTGAAAATACCTTTGATAACTACTGATGATGTTGGATAGCTTCTCATATGGCTTTGATAATGGTTTATTGAATGCCCTCAGTTTTGGTACTCTTTTATTTATGCCACTGTTAGTCCACGGAAATCCTAAGGTATTATTGTGGATTCAGGCAGGGTGAGCTAGTGGGACCCTGGGCAAACACAGGTGGCACCCTGCCTAATTGATCAACTGATTGCTATTGTGTCAAAAAACTGTTTTCGATAATGATATACTTGATACAAGGTATACGAAAGAAAGGAGGACAATGAAATATTTTATTGATTCCAAATAACGCCTATACCCACAATTGAACAACAACTGAAAGACATTATTGCAAAAAAAATTCCAATGCCTACCTCCTGTCCCTATCCTCCCTAGGAACGCACGATGTTCTTTGAACATTATAGGGATTCCCTTTCGTGCGCTCCAAGCGATAAAAAAAAAACAAAAAAAAAAAAAAAAAAAAAAAAAAAGGAATGAACAGGTTATATGTTATGCTGTTATATAAATTATGAAGCATAAGTTGTTTATTGTTATCGATGGGGGCTGGGAGCCCTTTGTATCCACAGCGCCCTGGGTTGCAGCCCAAAAAGTCCCTGTGTAGATCCGCCCCTGGATTTAGGTCTACAGACTAACTGACAAAGAATGCTCCAAGCATAGTCCCAAGCCATAGCGCTATTAGCTATACGATTTTGAAACACAAAAAAAACAAATGAAATTTTCATCAGATTCTATAAGTAGCCTCTGATCTTTATTTTCTCGATGTTCAACTGTAACGTCAGCGACTGCCAACTTTTTTTTCAAATTGCATCATTCACCATTTGTTTTTTTATTTCGGTTCGAGATTTTTTCCCGAATACAATAAATATGTATGAGAAGTTGAATTTTAGCTAAAATTAGTAATGCTCCCATTTTATCATTGATCAGAGAGTCACTGAGTCTCTCTTCGGTACCTCCTCGCTCGAAATTTCAGAATTGTACCCCCATAATTAAGGAATATACAAGGATGTATCCATCAAAATAAGACATACTACATACTGTATAGTGACTCCCCAACCGAATTCGGTCTCAATAATACTTTTCCCCCCTAATGCATCAGCATTTTCAAAACTGACAATGTTTTCAAAAGCTAGACATTTCAAATGTCGAGCTTGGCTACAGAGGTGTCGAATGTGAATAAAATTGGCCCAACTATCAAAAATATTGTATTTCTTTGAAATAAAAAACCGTTTTTTAATCATTGCAAATAAGAGCAAGACAATTTGCTTGTGTCTTTTCTTTATCAATCTCATTATAATGAATAACATTGACAACGGACAACGCATTCTACAAATTACCCTCACCTGCAATCAACAAAAAACAGGAAATGTCTAACTTTTTCCAAGTGAAATATGGTCAATTATATTCATTATTATTGTATGTCTTTACATGTTACGTTTCAGTATAAACCAAAAAAATATTTTTTTCTTCAAACAATAATTTCCACGGAGACTTATCATGGAAAGTATTACTCTGACTGTCATTTCACTCTTGGTCGATCAGAATCGGCCATTTTTACGGTTTCTTCTGTATTAGAGCGATATTTTTTTGTTGGCAAAATTTGTCATGGAACCATTTTTGTGAAGAATAATCGTAGCTTCTCATTTGAATTGATGTATTCTGGTTGTTAAATCTATTGGAATCGAGAAAACCGCAATAAAATATTCCAGAGCAAAATTTTTTACACTTAAATTTCAGTCAGATGTCAGGTGTAGCTTCCTACATCGGGGACTTTTGAGACGTTATTCAGGACGTCAATATATACCTGAAACCACAATAATACCTCAGGATAAAACTATTCCTTATTAAGGTACAATTTTTTTACTAATATCAGTGGACTAAGTTAGTTTTTATTTAGGGAATCTCAGTCTCGTACCTATAACTCTATACAGGTCAGACGACTAATGCGTTCCTTATAGTTAAATCTCATAATTTAGCTCGAATTAGTACTATGTAGATAGTTATGTTACTGAAATTATTTCTACATTCTATGATAGAGTGATACTGTGATGAGCTTTTTTTTTATTCCAAGACTCATTTGATGTTTTTGTGAAATTACCTTATTTATTTTTTACCCTTCCTGTTTTAGAGATATTTAGTATAGTGTTAGAGCGGGATTCCTTCAGAAATATAAACAAAGATGGATATAGGATGGTTCAAGTCATTATTTGTGGAAATATTTCCCCATATGAACAGTAAGCGTATGGACCGATATTGAATTCTTCGGATCACATTCGGTCCCATTCAAATGTGTTTTCCGCATAATTCATTAATTTAAGATTTTCTTCATGACCGGGAGATATAGTGTTCTCAGTAGGTACCTACTTCTTGTAGTTATTCATTTTCCGCATGTGAATTATTTCATTATTACCACTGGGGCAGCACATATAGTCTCTGGCTCGTAAAAGATGACCGGCAGTAACAAGGTGAGCCCAGAGCACATAAATGTTGTGATCATCAACTCACTGTCAATGTTGAAACGAAATCCCAAGCGCTGGATAGAAATGGTGGTATCAGTCCAAACGTACGGTCAGTCATATCGTTCGTGACTTGATGAAAGCGACGTAATCTGCAAAACTGAATTGTTCAGATACTCTATGCTCAGCGTACTGAATGTCTTCATTCTCTCCCTTTCGTCCCCGGTTTTCTTTGGCGAGTCGAACTATAGGCGTTTTCGGAAACTTACTTGTGTTGATCAGATCCCTAACCTGAATGTTCGGTTACCTAAAGCAAGTCACCTATCTCTGTTCGGAAACATGTGTGTTGATAACTCGATCACTGACTCGGGTTGATTTTTCGTGACCTAACTCAAAAGCAGGGTCGCTAGAGTCGCATGCGCATTACCAATTTATACGAAATTTATGTCTATCGAAAACCGAGGGTGT